TGAATTTTATATATAGGCTTTGAAATATTATATATGAATAAGTACGGATCTCTTTTTGAAGGACACTCAATATAGACATTGCTCAATAAACACGAGGATATGCGCGTTATAGGGTAACTAAGAAATAAAGCTCGGCTGTTCTAGCTGTTTGGTCTGTAACCGGCAACAAACAAACAAAAAATACTCTATTGTCACCACAATGTTACAATATAAAACTTAATCCTAAATGCCAAAATGTAGCGAGGAAAGGCGGCCTTATCGCTAAAAAGCGATTTCTTCTAGGCATCGAAGATGGAGATTTACCCAATGACGTCATCATGATGGCGAAACGTCGATAACATCCCTCAACTAGCTGTGTCAGCGACTTCGTCCGCTTAGCAAATTTGTTTTTGCCTCTTCATCTTTATAAGTTTAAGCTGTTACCCACGACATCGGTGGCGTGGCCTGTCTTTCTTGCAAGTTAATATTAAAAGATATATAGAAGAATCATCCTTCTATACATGTTTTTGAGTATCTTGAACCGTTTTCGCAGTTTACCCGTCAGAAACTCACAAAAATTAATAATTTTCCCCGTTTTTCCACATTTCCCGCTGGCTTAGCTCCTATTAGTCACAGCGCAATGTTTTATAACCTATATTATTACAGTCTTCGATAAATACTCTAAAACCACAAAAATATTTAAATAAAACACTTTAACGGTTTAAAACGCGATATATTAGTTAAACTTATTTGGAAATGATTTTTAACTTCGGCCCGACGTTTCGGATGCTTTGCAGCAGCCGACAGGGAGACTCGGGTCGGATTAGTTAAACTTATTTAAAAATCATTTTCAAACAAGTTTAACTAATATATCGCGTTTTAAACCGTTAAAGTGTTTTATTAAAATGTGTACTACTCGCGTAAACTATGGACAGTATTTAACAAACGTATTTTTTATATTCGAGGCAGTTGTTTCTGTGATTAGCGCGTTCAAACAAACTCTTCAGCTTTGTATGTTAGTAAAGATTACGACGCCCGAACAGCTAGACACCAGTAGCTCATAAAAATGGCGAAAGCCTAATACAATTTACAATAGTTAAATAACGTTAATTTTATATTTTAAACATTGAAATATGTATAACACGAGGTAGTCGAGATACGGTAGCATTCGTAGAGCTATAAAGGTTAGCGGATTCGATGCCCACTGCCATACGTCTTTCAATTTTAAAATGTTCACGTGAAAATTATAATAATACAAAAATGATATAACCAAGGTTTTAAGTGCGCCGTTTAAAAAAATAACTTACGCGATCATACAAACCAGTACTTTTCAAAAACTTATTTTGTATTAACCGTACTTTGACGTTGAAAATCTAACACGAAAGAAGTCACCCACTACCCATCGTTTCTGGGATTGCTGCCGAGACACCATGTCTTGGTAGGACCTAGAGTGTTGTGATCGTGTGTTGTGTAAAGCAAATGCCCACCGTTTTTAATGCGTTTGTGATTTTAATTTTCAAAGTCGTTAGCTTGTGTCGTGTAGTCGCTTGTTTGAAATTAATGTGATCTCTCTGCTTTTTTCAAATAATTGTAAACATCCAACGCAATAATGTTTTACAATTTATTTTGTGCGAGAGGTGTTTGTATGTGTGCAACACTACTGCAAATAAAGTAAATTTTAATAGCAACACTGGTTTCTTTTACTATCCCATATCTATAGTTTGTTTTTTCTAACTTGGCAAAAGACTGCAAAGATGGCCGATTTAAAACCATAGCGATTTAGTGATGACCTTTTATAGAGTGTAGTCGTTGCCACAGATGACACAAGGTTACAGAAATATACATTACTAGCTGTGCCCGCGACTTCGTCCGCGTGGAATAGTGACTTTGGGTAGAGTTTCATTGTTTAGGCTGTTAATTTATTTATAAAAGAGCGCATTCACTGCAGCCAATCTGTGTGGTGAGTGCTACTCTGCCGCAACACTGCGAATGCCAAAAAAGGGTTGTTAGGGGTTGAAAAGGAGGATGAAAGTTTATACGGAAATTCGTGATTTTTTAAAGCTAGAACAATGAAATTTTCTTTTTTGGGAATGGGAGTGAGAGTGGGAGTTAGAGTAGGAGCAAGTGTGAGAGTGTTGCGGCAAAATAGCACTTACAACACAGATTGGCTGCCTTAAATGCGCCCTTACATTAATAAACAATCTAAATAATTAAAAATTCTACTCCAAGTCACTATTCCGCGCGGACGAAGTCGCGGGCACAGGTCGTCATTTCATTAAAAAAAAAAAAAGTTTGTTTTATGATACAGGAGGATAGGTCAGCATGGGGTCCACTTGTCGGTATCGACCTGTCGACCTATTTTGGCTTTGGATATTCGGAAAGCTTCACGGCTTTTTAAGTTGTGGAAGGTGGTTCGTGACCTAGACGGAATTTCTATTCCTACCCACTTAATATCAGGATTTCCAAACGAAGTCCAACACGTTACAAACAAACAAACTCTTCAGCTTGTCCCTCATAATATTAGTAGCCATAGATTCGTGTGATTAGGAATACAAACAAATACTTATCGTAATAAAACTTTATTTAATAAACCTGTACAGTATTATATACTAACAATGAACAATACTTGAAATACGTAGATCGTAACGGTCATAATCAAGGACACGGTAGGACTTGGTTTCACAAATAAAAAGATATATATTATAAAAACAACAAAGAATAAAAAAATATCTAAATAAGCCCTCTACTACATTATTTAATTTAAGTTTACGGATATTTTGAAAATAAAAACACATGCATTAAATTAAAAATCGATTGGAAGTTGAAACAACGACTCGGGCAGGACTTAACTGGCATCCATAGGCGCCCTGATGCTATAAACCAGTGATTCTCAAAGTGGTCTACGTCAGGGAAAAAAATTTGGGGGTCCAGTCTCGTGGACTCCCATATTCTCTCAACATATACACTGATAATACCTAATTTACTTACATCATACTATTTTATAATATCAAAACATATACATTTTTTATAAAAGCACCAATGAAGTAAAAGAAATATTATATATGTTTTAATAAACATATACAAAACTTTATTTTGAGTAATTTTAAATTAAATTCAATTAATAAATGTATAAACTAACATGTGTTTTTAACACTCAACATCACTGCAGTTAGAAAACACGAAATCAATATCAGGTAAGTAGGGGGTCTACCCAACACGGAAAAACATGGCAAGAGGTCTACGACTCGAGAAAGTTTGAGGAACTCTGGTCCAAACGACTGAGCTATTATATATATATTTATTAATGCACATAAATAAAACAGATTTAACGGTTCAAAATGTGAAATATATTCGTAAATAATAAACAGTGAGCTAATATATATCGCGTTTCCAACCTTTAAAATATTATTTTTTTAAAAGCCACCATTGTTAGCTTAACACCCTAGTACAATATGTCCGTTGAAAAAATCATCCTGTGAATTAAAAATAAAACTTTATACATAATATGTATATCATTGTCGTTCGGGCTGTTCGGCCTATGTGAGCGAGACGAGGTTCTCGACGTTTCGCCATCACGTGTGGACGGCATCATCTGGAGATGTTATCTCCTCGATTGCTCGAAGAGTTAATTCTTCGAGCAATCAGTCAATCGAACGATGGCCGTAAAAGCCTTACACAATCTGTTCATACATATGTTTTATATAAGTAAAAATACGGTTAAGAGTGTGTCTAACCAAATATAGCTAAATTCGAGTGCTTCTAAAATAAATCCTTTAATAAAACACTTTAACGGTTTCAAACGCGATATATATTAGCAGCAGCAGTGGTCACGGGAAGACTCCCCGAAAGCACCTGTAACGTCGGGCCGTACTTAAAATAATTTCCCAATAAAAGTAGTACATTGCGTTTAAATCCGTTAAAATGTTTTATTTAAATGTGTACTACTCGCGTAAACTACAGACAGTGTTTATAATAGATCATAGTTATATAACATACGAAAAATATAGACATCTTATTTACAATTATAGAATATAAAAATATAAACGTTATATTTATTTTACACATCTGAACAAGATGCGCTGTCGGCCTATTATGTCTTTGGATATTCGGAAACCGTCTTTTTCACCTGTCGAGTGTGGTTCCGGAAACTCCCAGACAAACTCCTTCATGTTTCAGAAACTATAAATTAACAGCATATTGGTCTTGATGGGAACCTAATCTACGACCCGTCAGTAGATATGCATAACAAAGAAACAAACAAACAACAAATAGGACAAACATTTTTAAATAAAACACTTTAACGGTTTAAAACGCGATATATTAGTTAAACTTATTTAAAAATGATTTTTAACTTCAGCCCGACGTTTCGGATGCTTTCAAATACGTTTAACTAATATATCGCGTTTTAAACCGTTAAAGTGTTTTATTTAAATGTGTACTACTCGCGTAAACTATAGACAGTATTTAGGACAAACATTTGTTTTTTATTTTTCATGAACGCTGAAGAATTATTAATTATGTATTTTGCTTTTCTATCGAAATAAAGCAACAAGTCGTTAGACAAAATGGGAAATTTAATTTAAATAAAACACTTTGACGGTTTAAAACGCGATACATATTACTTAAAATAATTTGATCTCCCGCGGCCACGGCTACTGCAAAGCATCCGAAACGGCCGGCCGCGTTAAAATAATTTTCAAATTAGTTTTACTAATATATATCGCGTTTTAAACCGTTAAAGTGTTTTATTTAAACACGTACTACAGACATTTAAATCTGTTTAAATATAATTTAATTGTCGACACAAGCGGGGACTCGAACCGGGAATCCACAGCGTTCCGTGTTGCGGTTCGAGTCCCGCCTGTGTCATGTTAAAATATATAGTTTTGAAATAATATTTTGTTAAATTCGCTACATTACAATCTTACGGTAGTTATCGGAATGAGTTTGTATTTATGTCTAAACCATCTATCACAACCGGACTATTTTTGGGGTATGGGACCATTTCTTTGTTTCAAGTATCAAGATTTGTTGAACGCCGTTCGCATTAATCCCATCAGCTCTTTGTAAAGAACGCAATGACGGCTCGTGGGTTTGCAGATTTCCCTGTGATCCACAGACACGCCGTGCAGAGCGCCCCGACCTGGGTCTGTTGGAAATCACATCATTTTTGAGTCATCATAGACGAAAAACTTACCATTATTATATATTTAGTATGAAGAGATAAAGTAGTCGAAAACACTTTGATATAAAATGAAACGCTTTTGACGGTTCGAAACTCGAAAAGTTGTCGTGTGTAACTAGCCGAAGCTGCTAAAAAACATTATAAACGTCAAGCTGTTAAATAAAATAAAAATTAACTAATATAATATTATTAATAATTGCAATTAGTAAATATTAAAAAAAATCACTTTTAACGGTTTAAAACGCGAAATGTATTATAAAAATGTCCCCTGTGTAAATACGGCTGTTACAAAAAAAAATACCTAGTATATTTCGCGTTTTAAACCGTTAAAGGCGTTTTAAAACGTTTAAAGTATTTTATTTAAATGTGTAAAGTTCAGACAATACAAAGTATACTAAAAATAAGTAAATAAAAGAAAGGATATCGTGATTAAAATAAAACACTTTGACGGTTTAAAACGCGATGTATATAAATTGAAATTATTTATAAATTATTTTAAGTACGGCCCGATGTTTTGGTTGCCTTGCCGTGGTCACGTGGAGGATATCGTGATTACGAAGTGAAAAAAAAAAGAATTTGTTCATTAGTAGGTAAGCTTCTTCATACGGAACCAAGTTTTTTGTTCAGGATTTAAAGATGATAGATGTTCTTACCAGCTGAATCTACGCTGACTATTCTCAACCACAGCACAGACATAAGAGTCCGACAGGTCTCCACTAGACTGTGGACAGCTGGCTGCAGGGGAGACGTGGCTATTAACCAGCGATCTTGCAGCGAGAGGAGAAGCGAACAATCTGGATACAAACATAGTAGTTACATAGAAATTTACCTTACGTACCTTGACGCTGTCGACCTATTTTAGCTTGAGAATATAGGAGATCCACTGCCTGAAGCCGAAACGCGATTAAACTTTGCGCTTCTTTATTTTTAGACGGTGGTTCTTGACAGGAATGTAATTTCGATATTCCTACCACCCATTATCCAGATTTCCAAAGGAAGAACAAAGTGTTAAAAAACAATAAAAATTTGTTGGACGCGGTGGTAATCGAATCTATGACTCATTCATAGCAATAGATTTCCAGTTTCTGCTATGAGACCGACGTTTAAAAACTTAGTCATTACAATACACTAAAACATCTTTGTGGTCCTTCAAGCCGGAGTTTTAGGTATTATACATAACCACGCTGGTGGTCTATTCTTCTTTAAGATATAGTAATGGGTAATTGAATTACTTTTACATATCTCCAGGAGTTCAATACTGCGCGCCGTGATGGGTGTCTTGATATCAGCTAGGGGGGAACCCCGGTGTGGCACAGAGTAGAACATGAACCCAGCTGACTTCTGCCATAGACAAGCTCTTCTAGATCTTTCGCCATCTATTACCATAAGAGATTCAACTTTTTAACAGTTTTTTAAAGATTAATTTTAAAATGTGTGTGTGTGTGTGTTCTTGTGGTTTAAATAAATTTTTAGAAAATTGTGTAAAGGTTTGAAGGCAATAATATTAAGAGTATCATTAGGCAATTCTTCAAACTATGACCCGACATTTCTTTTGCTACATAAACTACAACTTAAATATCCCAACTTACCTTCTATTACTTCTTCGATTTGGTCACCATTAGCATAAATATTTGTATCATCGTTATAGTCCATTTTAATGTTATCGTCATTTGTACTATAATCTATATTGTCTTTGGTTTCTTGTAAATAAGCTTCGTATGCTGAAACAAGTTTTATAACTTTAAAAGAACCAATTTCGGTTTAATAAGTAAATAGGTGGTTTAATCATTTACCTTCACAGTAGATTTGCTTAATAAACAAACCCCCCTTGGAATGTCCCACCCATATTATGGGCTTCTGACCCACTCCCAACTCGAGCAACTGTGACGTCATCTGTTCTGCTCTTTCGTGTAGTCGCAATCTACAATACATTATTTCTATCTTTACATGTTGCCCAAGCGCATCTTAATTAGAACGTAATTGTTAAAAAGTAAGAGAGTAATTTAAAAATTGATAGAAATGTACATTTAAAATATAATAGTATTAAATAAATATAATCGTAGAATTTAATAAAATTACTTTTTAAAGCATGTAAATAACAACAAACACTTTAACGGTTTAAAACGCAATATATATAAGTTAAACTTATTTTAAGTAGGACCCGACGTGTCGGATGCTTTGTAGCAGCCGTGGGCATGGAGACCACGGACGCTGCAAAGCAGCTAAAATAATTTTTAAATAAATTTAACTAATATATGCCGCGTTTTAGTGTTTTATTAAAATGTGTACAACTCGCGTAAACGACAGACAGTATTTCATTTACAACTAGTTTTTTTAGTTCAAATAAAAATCCAAAAATATTTTACTTACCTTTTTATTTCCTTAATCCACAAAGGCCTCCACAGATAAGGATCGCTCGTGTAATTGATAGAAATAACTCTCGCACCGGGGAAATCTTCTTTAATCCAATCCCTGGGCCAGCAGGGCGAATAGCATTTATCACACACACAACCGCACCCAACTTCACACACACTGTCACACTCGCACGATTCGTTATCGTTATCCATGACTTTATTTTTCTCGTCACAACTGTTCTTAAACAGATCACGTACAAAATTCGCTTGCGATTCGTAGTTCCCTACGATCTCTACTTGGTCCAGCAGAGTGTTATTATAGAATTTCTCCGTTATAAACAGATTATCGTTAGGCAATATCCTCTTGATATCTTCGTAAAATTCGTTGACGTTATCCAGATTGTCTTTGAACATTTCTTTTAACTCTTCATTCATTTCCCCATTTGCACAATTATCCGTTTTCTCTTTGAATTTATCCATTTTCTCTCTGAAATTTGCCATTTCTTCTTTGAAACTCGTAGTCCTGTCTTTGAAATCCTGCTGTTCCCTCATACCTTTGATGTTGTTCTTCAAAATGCCACTATTGAATTCCTCAGTTGCATCCTTAATTTGTACTGTGTTGTTAAAATTAAAACTACTGTCTATAATATGTTTTAGATCGTCCTCTGCATTTTTATCAGTGGCTTCTTCGGTTTTGTCGTTGGTATTGGAATGTGTTTTTAGTGTCACTATTTCTGGATCGATTTTGTAGTTGCTTTTCCATTCTCCTTGTCTCCATGTGTTTCCTAATGATCCTGAGAAAATAATATTATTCATATTAAATGCATTGTACTATTTAATATCGGGTTAGACTCTTATTTGCATACTAGCTGTGTCAAGCGACTTCGTCCGCTAAGAATAGTCCGCTAAAGTAATTTTTGGTATCCGAATTTGTTTTTGTTGACCTCCCCCTCATCTTTATAAGTTCAAGGTACATGTGACGTCGGACGCGTCCCGTCGTTCTTGCATTTTTTTACATCACTTAAACAGGAATTCTTATTTCCTACAAGTTTTCGGAGTTTCCTGAACCGTTTTCGCAGCGTACGCATCGGAAACTCACAAAGATGAATAATTTTCCTCGATTTTATACATTTCCCGCTGTTTCTATGCTTGTATTAGTCACAACACGATAATTTATAACATATAACCTTCTCGATAAATGCTCTACCCAACACAAAAGGGATTTTAATTCGAACAAGTAGTTCCTAAAATGAAGGAAACAAACTCTTCGGCCCGACGTTTCGGATGCTTTGCAGCAGCCGTGGTCACGAGGAGCCTCGGCTGCCGCAAAGCACCCGAAACGTCGGGCCGAAGTTAAAAATCATTTTCAAATAAGTTGTGTTTTAAACCGTTAAAGTGTCAAGAAAGCGTAGAATCACTTTCTTTTCTTTCTAATGTTTCCTTTCGAGGGTTAATAAACATTTAATGATTACACAACAATTATAGATATAGTTACTGTGCTCGTGTCTGATAACAGCCGTTGTTTGGCATGTTGTGATAAGAGCAAATAACAATGAATTATATTTAGTTCTTCCTTCTCCCTTTATGAATAAGCTGTAACTCACGACGTCGGTCGCGTCCCGTCGTTCGTGCAAGTTAATCTTAAAAGATAGACATATACTGTCGCGGAAATTATCTAGATTTTTTATACTGTTAAATAAAACACTTTAACGGTTTAAAACGCGATATAGTAGTTAAACTTATTTGAAAATGATTTTTAACTTCGGCCCGACGTTTCGGATGTTTTGCAGCAGCCGTGTCACGGCAATCATTTCCAAATAAGTTTAACTAATTTATCGCGTTTTAAACCGTTAAAGTGTTTTATTTAAATAGATTTTTTAGTCACATTTTTATATACTTTTATACATATTTTTTGGGTATCTTGAACTATTTCATTGGCGTACGCAACGGAAGCCCTAGACGATGAATAATCCCCCCCATTTTTCCCCATTTGCCGCTGTATCTTCGTTCCTCGTGGGCGTGGCCTGTTTTATAGCCTAAAGCCTTCCTTAATAAATCGTCTCCATCCAACACATTTTTTACTATTTTTTTTTTTGTTTGTCTTTACTGTCTGAAATGGAAGACTTGTTTTTATGCTTATCTAATAAATCTCGCTATCCGCATGTAGAAAACAGAAAACATTCTTGTGTCCGTTTAATACATCGATTTTATTTACTGGAGATTCGAACTCCAGACTTCTCGCAAGTATATTGAGGTGGCACTATGTCAAATATTGACTAATATCCTTACCATACAACCCATGGACGAAGATAACATCTATTGTATGTGTTGGTGGCTCATGGAGGACCACACAATCCACCAAAGGGTCTGGGTGGAGGTGGTCGGAGCTGGCTGGGCGGGTCTTAACGGGTTTGGCAGCTGAAACGTCACAATTGGTCAAGCGTGAGTTGGATGATCGATCTACGATAGATCAGCTGGAAAAGCATTTGTGTGCTTTAGGAGACGCTTATGTGTGTGTGTTTGTGTTTTGTTAAATAACTAAATAAATAAAATAAAAAATAATTTTCTTTGTATATTTCACTTTTATTTATCATATCTTCTTATATAATAAATATACGACTGTTCTTTGTGTAGTTTGTAGTCACGGGGGGCTAAAGATGGTGGGTGTCCCTAATGTCAAAGTCCAATCTGCTACGCCGATGACATAAATGGCGCTATCGTAACGTCGTATGGTTAAAATAAATTGTTAAAAATATGGCCGGTTTCAAACCGTAAAGAACTAGTGATGGCCTATCATAGAGTGAAGTTGTAGCCACAGATGACACAGAGACAAAGGAACGTCGATTTTGTCTCAAAGTGTTTTTAGTGCATATCCTATATAAAGCTCGTGATGAAACCACGACATTATTTGAGTTGTATACTAAAAATAACAATTTAAATAAAACACTTTAACGGTTTAAAACGCGATGCATTAGTTAAACTTATTTGAAAATGATTTTTAATTTCGGCCCGACGTTTCGGATGCTTTGCAGCAGCCGTAGTCACGGGAAGACCAAAGATGGAAGTAAAATAAGTTTAACTAATATATCGCGTTTTAAACCGTTAAAATGTTTTATTTTAATGTGTACTACTCGCGTAAACTATAGACAGTATTCAAATAAATATATATTTTTTATGATAGAGAAGGACAGACATGCCAAAGGATTTACTCGATAGTAGGTGATATACGCCAGCCTATGGCATCTAAGCAAGATGCGATGTGTATTTTGGCTTTGGACATTCGGAAATCTACAGACTGCAACCGAAACGCGATTAAGCTTCACGGCTTTTCCGTCAGTGGACGGTGATTCGTGAATTGCTATATTCCTACCACCCATTTTATATCCAGGTTTCCAGACATCCAGCATGTTTCGGAAAAATTAGCAACATTTTGGCCCTGGTGAGGATCAAAGCCACGACCTATTAACCACCAACGGGCCCGTTAAATGCGGGCTCAAATATATTACGCGTTGAAGTAATCTATTTAAAGTTACTACTCGCGTACACTACTACTACTGTGTACTACCACGCCTGTATTATATCAAAACGTGTCAAGTGCTGTCCGAGAAGGGTGTGACATTTTGACACGCATTTTCGACTTATTTCCTGTATTATCGTAATTATGTCAAATGATAAGATAAAACCGTTGCTAAGTGTTAACATTTTTCAAACACACAAGATAACATCGAGGCGTTTTGAAATTCCGTATCGATTTAACGTTTTAATCTTTCCCACAGCTGGGATTCGGGTCTTTCGAATGGGTCGTGAACAGTGGCAAAAGGTAGGTATTTTTTGTTATAAGTAGAAAACCGTCTTTTCGGAATGGGGGGGCTTTGGTATAATCTTGCTTCTCATAACTTTATCTGTCTTCTATGAGAACGGAATCGGTATCAGTAACGAAAAAAAAGGTATTCTCTTCTTGGAAGGTAGGGGAGGGGCCTTTTCCTTCCCATAATTTAGTCTTTCCACCGCTGCATCTCGGGCCTTCTATGAGAATGGGTGAATTCAGCGACGAATATAAATACTTGTTAGGTTTGTAGGTATTTTAGAAGGGGGGGGGACTATGGTGTTCTTAGCCTCCGGGATTTAATCTGGCAACTGGCCGATTGCTCATAGGCAGATGACAAAAGTCGTAAATTGTTCGTCGACTTCGCCTAGTCCTAGACTGGAAAGCTTATACATAGCTCCGTCTTTACCTGCTGCGATCGGAGGAAGTGGTGCCGTCATCAGACGATGGATGATCAGCGATGCGGTACTCCAAAACGATGACACGCACCACCGTCTGTAAGAAAACATATATACAATAAGTAGTTTAGTCTGTCTGTAGTTTAAGCGAGTAGTACAAATCTAAATAAACCACTTTAAAACCCGAAATATATTAGTTAAACTTATTTTAACTACGGCCCGACGTTTCCGATGCTTCGCAGCAGCCGTGGTCACGGAGACTCAAATAAGTAATATATTTTGCATTTGACCAAAATGACTAAAGCCTACTTTAATTTAGATTAAACACGTTCAACGTACAGATAGCAACGCCGGAAACATTATTTTTGTAAAAAAAGCCAAGACCGCCTCTGTAGCTAAATAGTTAATCGTATTTCGGTCGGGCAGTGCACAGAAGTCTGATCAGACAGAAGAACTGATCAGTAAAACGAACACAGCAATATGTCCATGCCCCCAAGGGGGAGTGGGGGGAACGTTTTTAGCCTTTTTTTCAAAGCCATTGACAACCGCTAACGACCAATTTGTGTCGGCGTAACATTGATATTATCGAATTGAACGTGATTGTAGCTATTTGTGGGGAAGCACTCTTGCGCAGATTGTATGCCTATTATTGTATCAGTATCAATGGCCAAAGCCTTGACAATACGTGGAACAATCTATACTAATATTATATAAAGCTGAAGAGTTTGTTTGAACGCCTAATCTCAGTAACCACTAGTTCGAATTGAAAAGTTCATTTTGTATTGGTTAGAGCATTTATCGAAAAAGGCTATAAAAAAAACAGTGGGAAATGTGTAAGCACACGGGGAAAATATTCATACAAAGGTTTTTTTTTTCTTTGCGTGCGCTGCGAAAACGGTTCAATACTCCCAAAAAATATGTTTGTAAGAATGATTCCTCTTTAAAAGATAAAAAACATATTTCAGTCTTGCTATGGAAGGGCCATTTACGTAAAAAGTGCCTCTCAGTACAGAACACCTTAAATACTGTCTATAGTTTACGCGAGTAGTACACATTTAAATAAAACACTTTAACGGTTTAAAACGCGATATATTAGTTAAACTTATTCGAGTCTCCCCGTAACCACGGCTGCTGCAAAGCATCCGAAACGTCGGGCCGAAGTTAAAAGTAATTTCCAAATAAGTTTAACTAATATATCGCGTTTTAAACCGTTAAAGTGTTTTATTTAAACAGAACACCTTTTTAGATCGTTTAAGGAGGAATCATTCTTTGCCACAGACTTTTTGGATACCTTGAACCGTTATCGCAACGCACGCATAGGAATCACTCGAAGGTGAATATATTTTTCCGTTTTTTTTTCTACATTTCCCACCGTTTCCGTGATGTCTTGAAGCCTCTATAAATGCTATATCCAACAAAACAATAATTTCTCAATTCGAACCAGTACTTCCTGAGATTATCGCGTTCAAACAAACAAACTCTTCAGCTTTATATATTAGTATAGATTCTAAATTAGCCTTGTATAAAAGCCTGTTCCACGTAAGCGCGTTAACTCTTACGCATATTAAATCCTATTGCAATTTTATCTCATAAGTTGAATAATGTTACGTGGTTACGGTCTTTGCCAAGGACGGAAACCTTATATGGGTCTTGCATAATACTTAACGTATGGGCTTATAATTACCACCAATCAGGTTCTAGAAGGGTGGTACTATCCCACAGGTGGGATCGCACCCAGGTGTATAGAAGAGGTAACTTACTTTACAATTTAACGGATTAAGCGGCGATATATATTAGTTAAACTTATTTGAAAATTATTTTTAAATGCAGCCCAACGTTTCGGATTCTTTGCAGGAGCCGGAGACATTGAGCATCCGAAACGTCGGGTCGCTGTTAAAAATACTTTTCAAATAAGTTTAACTAATATATATCGCGTTTTAAACCGTTAAATTGTTTTACTTAAATATGACCTACTCGCGTAAATTACAGACAGTATTTAGTTGACCCACTACCAAAAAATTTAGCGCACAGAGCCGAGATTGACAGCACACCTTGTTTAGATGCTATTGGCTGAGGTATTTACCTATTATCATGGGAACCCCGTTCTTTATCAAACCCGGGGCCTTGCGTATTGACACATTGAGCAACTAGACAAAGCACTTGGACCTTGTTTTGTTGGTTATATAGCTAAGAATCCTCTCAAAAGAAAGCAATGACATTATTAAATCAATAATATTTAATAAAAAAACTCCAACTTACGAAGGGTCGACTGTATGGAGGAAGGGGGGGTAAGGCGAACTATTAGTCACAGATATTATTCAAACATGTTACTTTGATTACTTAATGAGTCATAACTTGTAATGTCGAACAATGTATAATTCTTTCTACGTTTAATTTATAACATATAATAACCGTTGTAGCGCAATGGTTAAATCCCGAGAAAAAGTGTTTTATTTAAATAAAACACTTTAACGGTTTAAAACGCGATATATTAGATAAACTTATTTGGAATTGATTTTTTTAATGGTCTCCCCGTGACCACGGCTGCTGCAAACGTCGAAACGTCCGTCCATCCGAAACGTCGGGCCGAAGTTAAAAATCATTTCCAAATAAGTTTATCTAATATATCGCGTTTTAAACCGTTAAAGTGTTTTATTTAAATGTGTACTACTCGCGTAAACTATAGACAGTATTTAAAAGTGTTTTATTTAAGGCAGACATTCTTTAGCATCCGTTATCTTGTCTCGTGTCTCCCTGTGACCACGGCTACTGTAAAACATCCGTAACATCGGGCCCTAGTTAGAGTAACTTGTATTTAAATCTACCTAATATAACTCGCATTTTAAACCGTTAAAAGTGTTTTATATTTGTGTACTACTCGCGTTAGCTACAGACATTCTTTAGCATCCGTTATCTTGTCTCGTGCATTGGTGGGTTATTAATTGATATCTTCCACGTGTGGACGCTTGTTGGCACGTGACCCCAAGGTCACGTTCCTCGACGGAAACAAATTGTATCTAAGTTCTTATCTCTATAATATTCAACCTGTTTGAAGGTTTATTTTGTTTGATAAGTAAAAAGACATTTAACGGTTTGAAACGGGGTTATTAACATGCACGCCAAATATAATTCTAAACGTCGTAATATAAGCACGTTACCATTATAAAATACGATTCCAAAATAAACAAAAGTAAAAAAAAACACTTTTAACGTTTTAAAACGCGAAGTATTATGGTAATTTTTTATTAAATATAATGAACTGCCGGCATATTTTATGTGCATCCCATCGTTTCGGATCTTGCAGCCGAGCAGGTCACGCGGGCCATAGTAATTACAAATGTCGCCATTTAAACCGTTAAAAGTGTTTTATTAGTCGCGTAAACTACAAACAATACTAAATCTATAAAACTTTAATTAATTTATAATATTTTTAAGTACCTAAAAACCTCCTCGGTCTAAACCTAGCCTAGACGCGAGTCAATGACCCAATGACATTGAAATTGGCGCCAATCCAAGTGACGGAAAGTGAAAACGGTAGGTACACGTGATTCCTGAATTGTGCATTCTATTTTCGAATGGCCGTTTCGTAATACTCGATCCCGGTATTCGATATTCAAATATTAGTACAGATTATATATTTTATATTGTTTCTATTTATACAAAAGAGGTTTTATTGCGTTTTTATATGCCTTATTGCTTTGTTATTCCGATAGATTATAAATACTTTTTTTTTTCAAATACAAAAATATTTATTTTATTAATTTTTTTTAATGATAGAATAGGACAAACAAGCACCTGGTTCACTTGATGGTAAATGATGTAGTGCAGCCTATAGCATCTATACGTTCAAAAAGTTAAAAATTCGTGTAGGACTCGGTAGCTCAATTGGTAGAGCAACGGCGCGGAACGCTGACGATGCCGGTTCAAGTCCTGCCCGAGTCGAATTTTTTTTCAATTTATTTTCGAATTTTTAAGGTATCATTCAACCCTCAAACTTGAATTTTCCCCGTTTCTTTCCAAACTATCCAATTTTTTTTCGCTCCTTTCGATCGCAGTCTCTTGTCTTATTGCCTAAAACTTTCCACGCTAAATGATATAACCCACACAAAAAAAAATCAATTCGAACTAGTAGTTCCTGAGATTAGCGCGTTTAAACAAATGAACAAACAAACTCTAAAGCTTTATAAACTACTATAGCTAGATACACAGTATAAAATTGCAGCTACCTTACTACTAAGTGGTCCTTGATTCGATTCCAATAAAACATTTGATACTACATATATGTGAACACTTATGTTTATGTAGCTTACTATAAATGCAGTAACACCAGCCGCGTGTACTCTTTAACGAGTTAATAACTCGATTCAAGGTCGACCACCATTAGGTACTTAACAATAAATAAGGCTGCAGTCGCCTATAAACACTGTAATCTGCGATCGCTAAGCTATAATCTATTTATCATAGAGGAGGATAGACAAGCACGGGGTTCCCTTGATGGAATGTGAAATATCCCAGCTGCGTAACATCTAAACAAGATGCGCGGTCGACCTATTCTAGCTTTGGATATTGGGAGGACTGCTACCGAAACGCGATTAAACACGCGCTTTTATTTGTGGACGTGTTTTGATATTTTTACGACCTGTTCTATATGAAAATTTGCAGACAAAGTGTGTGTTTCGGAAAATGTAAACATTTATAAGAACCATACAGGGCGGTGATTGAATCTGCGACCCGTTGATTATAAGCCGGCCGGCCGAAACTTTGGTCTTTACTGTATTTGATTTTCCATTTTGTTTATTTATACATATAAGTTAACGTAAGCTTCCTGTTAATAACTGTATGCAAAACACATTTAAATAAAACAATTTTAACGGTTTAGGACATGAAAAATTTTAGTTCAATTAAGGTTTAAATATTTTAACTATAAATATTTTAAGAACACAAAACTAAATTTAGAAGTGCTTTATTTAAATGTGTACTGTATTTTTTCGTTGAAACTACAGTGCCTGTAATGTACTGAAATGTACATTTCATTGTTAGGGCAGAGTATTGTTTATAACTTCGAAGTATGGATTGGTTTCTTTTTGACACCTAAACGGCTCAACCAATTTTGATATATATTATGATATATATATGTTCAAATAGTTGATTACCTTACATAAAGTATTTGTTTATCTTAATATATTAAACGTCTACTGTTTAGGCGACTAGTACACATGGAAATAAAACAGTTTAACGGTTTAAAACACGATATATACTAGTTAAACTTATTTGAAAGTTATGACCACGTTTTAAACTGTTGAAATGTTTTATATATATATAAATATATTAGACGTATTAAATAAATCTATGACTCACACTAATGCAACTAAGTACGGGTGTAATCGCGCGCCATCTTGTGCCAGAGTGACGTCACCGGAAATGGCCATTTTTATATGTCCGTCACCGTTCTGCAGAACCTGCAAATAAAAACGATTGGATGATTGTCTGTTTACAAGAATCACGCGTGGCTGGCAACGTGATTTTGTCATCAGCGTGGGTGAAGAAACGGTGAAGCGCGAGTCGGATGCGCACTGAATTACATTTTTATCAAAATTGCAAAACTTATAATTGCCCTTTTAACATATGTACAGTAAACGAATAACTAACTCAATCTATACTAATGTATAAAGCTGACTTTTGTTTGTTTGTTTGAACGCGCCAATCTCAGGAACAACGGCTTCGAACTGAAAAATTCTTTTGGGGCTGGTTAGAGCATTTATCGAGGAAGGCTATGTAATCGCGCTGTAACTTACAGGAGCGAAGCTACAGCGGTAAATGCGAACAAAACGGGGTAACTTCTTTATCTCTGTGGATTTCAGATGCGTACGCTGGGAGAACGGTTCAAGACATACAAAACATATATATGAAAGAATGATCTCTCTCACTACATTATATCTTTTAAAAAGGACGGGACGCGACCGATGTCGTTGGTAGCTTAGATTTATGAAGAATTTTGATGCCCGAAATACCTACTCTATGCGGACGAAGTCGCTGACACAGCTAGTAATAGATCCTTACTAATATTATACATGCGAAAGTAACTCTGTCTGTCTGTCTGTTTGTTACTCTTTCACGCCAAAACTACTGAACAGATTTGAATGAAATTTGGTACACAGATGGTTTAGACCTTGAGAAAGAACATAGGCTTTTTTTTAAAAGGGGGTTAAAAGGGGGGTGAAAGTTTGTACGTAAATGCGTGGTTTTTGAAGCTAGAACAATGAAACTTTCTTCTTCTTCTTCGGTTTCTGTGAATAGGAGTGGAAATGCGAGTGAGAGTAGGAGTGATGAGGTGGGAGTGTTACGGCAAAGTAGCACTTACAACATACATTGGCTGCGATAAATGCGCAATTACATAAATCAATAAACAGTCTAAATAATTAAAAATTCTACCCCAAGTCACTATTCCACGCGAACGAAGTCGCGGGCACAGCTAGTAAATAATAAAATATATAAGATACGGCAATCGGTAAGTCTCACAAGCGCTGATTTTAAGTCTGGCCAAGGTATAATAGAAGAATAGTGAAGTTTACAAAGATGGATACTAACCTTTTTTTTAAGTAAAACACTTTTAACGGTTTAAAACGCGATATATATTAGTTTCAAGGCTCTATATATAGCGTTTTAAACCGTTAAAATGTTTTATTTTAATGTGCATTACTTGCGTAAACTACTGACAGTATTAATTTGTTATTTTTTTAGATTTGTTGTTTCAGCGGACAATATATACATAAATACTGTCTATAGTTTACGCGAGTAGTACACATTTAAATAAAACACTTTAACGGTTTAAAACTCGATATATTAGTTAGGCTTATTTGGAAATGATTTTTAACTTCGGCCCGACGTTTCGGATGCTTTTCAAATAAGCTTAATTAATATATCGCGTTTTAAACGGTTAAAGTGTTTTTTGAAATATATACATAGTTTAACGATTTATAAAACATGCACGGACGGACGGACAGCTAAATGTTGTTAATAATTTAACCTTTACATACACAATCCTAAAAAGGGAAGACTAGAATCAGATAGAGAGTAGGTACACCGCGCATATAAAGCAAATATCTTTTATTTCTGAATTAACAAAGTAAAGTAATAGACTAATATATTTCGCGTTTTTAACCGTTGAGAGTGTTAAATTTAGTGTGTACTACATCCTTGAACTACAGACAATGCTTGTAATTTATATATAATAAACAGTTTCATTGTTAGGGCGGAGTATTGTTAATAAGTACAAAATATAGATTAGTTTCTTTTTGACACGTAAACGGCTCTACCAATTTTGATAAAATTCGGTACTGAATTAGTTGATGAAATAACGTACTTTTAAATATGGTTATATTAGTATTTATTTATTTATTAGAGAAGGACAGACATGATTCACTTGAGGGAAGGTGAAACATCCCAGTTATATAACATCTCGACCAGATGCGTGATCGACCTATTATGGCTTTGTTTATTGGTATCCATTTTTCATCTGTGGTCGGAGTTTTCTAGACAGAATTTCGATATTTTTGCCACCCAACTAATATCCAGTTTTCCAGACCAGACCAGGTCAGAAAAATATAAGCTTATTAGAATCATGTTAGACCCGGTAGAGATTGAAGCCACGATCTGTTGATTTCCCCCCGTGTCTTCGCTCTGTGCCTTGCAAATCTATTGGTCACACGTTTTATAGCCCAGATAAACTGTCTAACTGACACAAAAATATATTTTCAACTCGAACCGGTAATTCCTGAGATAAACGTGTGCAAACAAACAAAGAAACACTTCAGCTTTATAATATTAGTATGGATAATACTATAAATTAACACGTGTACTATATTTTCAAGTACGATATTTCGCAAAAGTAATTTTGGCAACACTAGTCACAACCTATAGTAGTCTTAAAGCTGTACGAGAACATAACCAAACAATCTGATTAGTTTGGGTTCGATATCCGAAAGGTCATCCCTCAGACCTTCGAACTGAATCAGTAATCACTCTATCAAGGCAGCAATGCAAGAAAAATGTTGTAACAAGTAAACCTTCACAATATTTAGTGGACATGCTTTATATTCCTTCTGTGTAATTTAAATCTAATGTATAAAGCTGAAGAGTTTGTTTGTTTGAAAGCGTTAATCTCAGAAACTACTGGTTCCAATTGAAAATTTTGTGCTGGGTAGAGAATATACCGAGGAATGCTATAATCGCGCTGTGACTAATAGACGCGAAGATACAGCGGGAAATGTGAAAAAAAAATGGAAAAATTACATACTCGCTACACATCATTATGTGTAGCGAGGCGTACGCTGCAAAAACGGTTCAAGACTCCCAAAAAATATGTACGAAAGAACTATTCCTATTTCCATGATCTAAAAAAATGTCCGGCGCACGTCTATCGTTTAAGATGTACTTGCCACTAGCAAGAGCGACGGGAAGTTTATAAAGATTTACAAAAACGAATTTGGATGTCCAAAATAACGCTTCTCGCGGACGAAGTCGCTGACACAGCTGGTATTAGTATATGTGATAACTTTTCACGTAGGTACGTAAATATGATCTATAGATATATACCTAATATGATAAATAAGCCCCCAAGGAGTTCCTACCAACCTCATTTAAAAACAATCACTGACATGTAGGACCCGTGTTGAAACAATTAACAATTGTCGAGTTCTTTTTGAATTAATTAATATTTAAACAAACAATTAATAGTACAGTCTGTACTCTGTAGTTTACGCGAGTAGTACACATTCGAATAAAACACTTAACGGTTTAAAACGCAACGTATATTACTTATACACATAATATTATAAATGCGAAAGTAACGCTGTCTGTCTGTCTGTTCGGCTTTAACTCCGAAACTACTGAACTGATTTCAATGAAATTTGGTACACAGATATTTTAGAGCTTGAGAAAGGACATAGGCTAGTTTTCAACGCCAAAAAAGGGTTAATAGGGGTTGAAAAGGGGGATGAAAGTACAATAGTACAATGTAACGTTCTTCTTTGGCTTTTTGGGAATAGGAGTGGGCGTGGGAGTAGGGGTGGGCGTGGGAGTGGGGGTGATAGTAGGAGGGGAGTGTAGGGATGAGAGTGGGAGTTAGAGTAGGAGTGATGTGAGGTGAGAGTGTTGCGACAAAGTAGCACTTACAACATACATTGGCTGTAATAAATGCGCAATTACATAAATTAATAAACAGCCTCAATTATTAAATATTCTACCCCAAGTCACTATTCCACGCGGACGAAGTCGCGGGCACAGCTAGTTACTTATATTAACGTCGGGCCTAATTTAAAATAAATAAAAAAGAAGTTCACTCATATATTTCGCGTTATAAACCTATAAAAATGATTTATTTAAATGTGTACTACTCGCGTGATCAAGACACTACTACAAATAAACAAACTTTTATATTTTTAAAATTCACTTAAATGAAGAATTAAGAAACATGTTCTATCCGGTGGTGATCGAATCCGCGACCATTGAGCAGCGAGCCTAGAGTTGACAGAAAGTAATTTTTATTGAATTAGTCAGATAATTGTATTTACTCATCAGAGATAGTGTACGCGTTGAAAAGTGAAACATTAAGATAACAAATGTGTACAATCGCGACTTAATAAAACTCTACCATATAATTCTCGTTTCTAAATGTTATTTACCTTACCCCAAAATGGCTCGACCGATTTCGATGAATTTATTTCTATACAATCTTTTACGATTGAGTAGAAACTTATTGAATACTGTCTATAGTTTACGCGAGTAGGACACATTTAAATAAAACACTTTAACGGTTTAAAACGCGATATGTTAGTTAAACTTATTTGAAAATGATTTTTAACTTCGGCCCGACGTTTCGGATGCTTTGCAGCAGCCGTGGTCACGGGTCTCCCCATTTTCAGTTACATTGTAGTTAAAGTGTTTTATAGAAACTTATTAAATGAGGAGTTACAGCATGTCAAGCAGGTCCTATGCAAGAACAAGCTGAGAGTCCCTCCGCAGCATCCCAGGAACAGGAACAAGCCACCCACAGTCAAACGTCAGCCCGCCTACCTACCATATGTGAAGGGAGTTACAGATAGAATTAGCAGAGTCCTAAATCGAGCTTCTATTGACACAATTTTCAAGCCGCACAAGAAGATTCAGCAATTCCTGAAACCAAGCAAGTGTACTATCCCTTTACAAGATGCAGGCGTTTACAGACTGGATTGTGATTGTGGCCTATCCTACATCGGCCAAACAAAGCGTAGCATCTCAAACAGAATTAAAGAACACGTCGCGGATATAAAACATAAACGTCTCTCCAAATCTGCGGTATGCCAACACTCATCAGAAGGGCCCAATCACTACATTCGCTTTGACCAACCAAAAATCCTCGCAAAGGAGAGTCGATTTTTTCCAAGATTGGTACGCGAAGCAATTGAAATCAAAAAACACCGAAATTTCAATAGGGAGGACGGCCTCAAACTATCAAACACCTGGGATCCCATATTAAAAACTCTGGATCCCAATAAACAGCATACCAGCAAACGCGAAGACACCGTTAGTCAATTCTGTAAGGACCCGGCCAGTTTCGCCAAATACCAACTTCGACGGAACAGATGGCGCTAGCGTAGCAATTCTTTACTTTGACGTCTGAGACATCCTCCATCTTTAGTCTCCCCGTGACCACGGCTGCTGCAAAGCATCCGAAACGTCGGGCCGAAGTTAAAAATCATTTTCAAATAAGTTTAACTAATATATCGCGTTTTAAACCGTTAAAGTGTTTTATTTAAATGTGTACTACTCGCGTAAACTATAGACAGTATTTAGAAACTTATTGGTTAAACGCATTGCGTTAAGCGAATGTGGTCTGGAGTTCTACTTCTGGGAAGCAATTCTAATAATCGTTAATAGTCTCCGTAGGGCACAGAAATCTATTCAGCTGAGCTATATACGAAAATCTTCTAAAAACAAACAGTGTCCCATGTCCTAAACAGGAGGCAACGATGTTACACTATTTAATATTAATTTAGTTATTTATTCAACAAACATAACATTGTATTCATAAAATAAGTCCTGTGGTGTTTATAATTAACTAATTCCCGAGATTAAAGCGTTCAAACAAACTCTTCAGCTTTATACATTAGTATAGATATAAAAAATAATAATGTATCCTAAAAAAACGTTTCACTGGTGGTTTATATATAAAAGTAAGTTAAAACAATCTTAAAACCGTTCATTTAAACTATCTTTGCTAATATTAAAAAGTTGAAGACTGTTTGTATGGACGCGGTAATCTCGGGAACTACTGGTACGAATAGAAAACATATTCTCGTTGGTTAAAGCTATTATGGAAGAAGGCTTTAGAATATAAAACATCATGCTGTGGCTAACATAAGCGAAGAAATACTTATCTACGCGAACGAAGTCGCTGGTATAGCTAGTACATACATTATCTAATACTTTAAAATCTCGCCCGTCCGTCCTAGTTATTAGTTAAGTAATTTAAGAAAAAATACCTCTGCGTAGTTCAATATCCATCACTTAGTAACAGCAAGTAAGTTAATATTTCCAACTTATACGTCTTAAAAGCACTTAATTTAACAAAATAGTAACACTATAATATTATACACAACGAAATAAGTCCAGCGAATATTGTAAACAAAGAAAGTTTAAATTTTATAACGCTACACGACCATGTTGGTTGCACGTTCCCGCGTTACTGCTTGAACGCTTTGTGTAATACGAAATGACATAACTTTACAAAGCATTTGATAAAATAGACCTTATCTCGTTCAGACAGAAATCAATTTAGTTATAACCACGTGATCTTTCAATTGGTCTGTTTGTAATCCTGTTTCCCGTGCGTGGGATGTTGTATAGACACATATTTGTGTCTGTTTGAGAAGTTTTCTTGTAAATTGTCTTTAACCTACACAATTGTAATAAATTATGATTGATCGGAATTCTGGCCTGTCCAACCGATATATAGGGCCGCTAGAGGCAGAGTAGCCTAACTGCAATTTTATGTCTTGAGTTATTATATTTTGATAGTCTAAAAATGTTAATCAACAAGAGGACAGTGACCGAAAATTGTTGACATAATTTTGACTCAAATAATAGTACGAATTCAATTTTCACCTAAGTTAATTGCGCATTTTATTTCCTTCTTATTATAAATCAAGTTTTTTGTTATCAAGCCACTCTGCCTCTAGCAGCCTCATTAATTTTCGCAGATATAGAAGTCAGAACCTTTAATGCTGAAATCCTAGATAATGTTTAACCAATAAGCCGCACATAACCTAAATAGCCCAATACAAAATTTAAGCTTTACGATAAGCATCATGTAATGACGTGTGTTTTGTTATTAATATTTTGTAAGAAAAATACATATGTGAATACAGAACGCGTCATGTTTACTAATAATATAGAGGGCAATTTATGCATATTTTTTGTATACTCTCAAATATCTGTGAGGAAAATTAATTTCCTCAGTTATAAATAAGTTTTTATATTGTCGTGATCTGTATAAAATTCATTGTAACTTACGTTACAACTTTCAATTTCAAAAATCATATTTAACTATTAATAAAAGTGCCATCTAGTTTGGTTTAAGTAGAAACAATAGCCGCGTATTATCTGTGAATGTCAAGTTTTGACATCTTCACGCCGATCTCGAATTACCGACCCTCAGCCGGTACTTCAAGGAAACGTCCGGACGTTTCTTAAAAAAATCGGCGACGCATCCGAACTCACTGGTGGCCCGGGCCGCCAACTAAACCGTTCCCGTCAGTACACGCTGGAGAAGGCCACGTAACGTTCTTACCGACCCCGACGACGACTTAACCAAAGCCGTCGATTTACTCTTCGCAACGCGATCGGTCGACAACGGCGCCGATCGCCCGCAAAACAGGCAAAAAAGGCGAGGTCATTCGCTACGCGTACTGCTCACCCGAGTGAGCTTCCGTCCAGCTCTTCAAGCTCCCACCCGCATTGCGGCGGTCCAAGCCGAAGCCGATGCCCCCCTCGGGGCACCCTTGGTCTAGCCGAAAAAGCGCGCTCGCCCAAACGTCCGGTTAGTATTCGTGTTTCCGTCGGGACACAAGACGAAATAGTAAAAAAAAAATAGTTTTGACAAGACAGTGACGTTGACACTTGACAGCGCTTACAGACAAATCCAGTCACGCGATAAGAACAACGAAGGGGAGAAAATGTGAATTTATTTATTTCTCCCCATATTAATTAATAATAAGTTTTAAAGTTAACATTAAAAATGAACAACGTTTCCAGAACTAAGCAATATCTATTATAAGAACAAATCGTTCGGTCCAGTGTATCATTGTGAACGCATTGTGTTTTTATAAGTTGTTGTTTTTTTTGACGTCTGACCAGTTTTTATCGTGTTTTTTACACTCTCTACGTATTGATTATTTTTCTGTCTTCGCAATGTATGGCGGAGGCCTATAGACATATATTTTGTTATAGATGTATACAATAGTTAATTTGTAAACAGTGAGTACGAAATACGAATATAATTTCTTAAAACCAGGAATTGTTTTTATAATCAATAATATTATTTTAAGGTACCATGGTTGAGCCTGTGCCGTCAGATGTAGATCCTTTGGGGGCCTTTTCCTACCTCACTTATAATAACTATGGCCAATTCACAACAACAAATCAGTATCCATACTCTTTCCAATACCCTGTCAAACCAGAATCAGCTGTAAATCCACCTGTTACTGACAGTAGCAACAAGCCTGAAGAACGCAACACAGGGAATAAAGATCCTTCAATAGAACCTTCCACTGATGTTAAACCTATAGTATCAAATGGCAGGGTAAAAAAAGAAAAAAAGAAGTTTATTTCTCAGAAAATAACAGAAGAAGGTTACCCCTTTTATGGCTGTGCTGTATGCAATATCAGTTTCTCATCTCTCCGTGAATTAGATACACATGTAATTATACACAAGGAGAGAGTGACTAGCTATGATTTAAGAGTAAAGAACCAATTGAAGAAGAAGAAATTAAAAAAAGAACAAAAGAAGTTAAAGAAGAAAAAGAAAGACGGTTTGAAAGTTCTTGACATTGAAATCAAACCAGAAGATGGGTATATAGGTAGTGAAAAGGTTTCCGATGTCAGCTTAAATAATAATGAAAATGAAAATAAGAGGGTGGAAACGGAAAATGATATGTTTCTCAAGATTTATAAATGCTTTGCGTGTCAGAAACAGTTTACTTTAAGTTATTATCTTAAACTTCATGTTCGGTCTCATACAGGTAAGATATTATGTTACGTTTTTTATGAGTTTCTGATTTATTTATTCTACTGTGGGGCTACACAGTGTGTTAAGAGGAGTGTTCTTGTGTTCAAGGCCAATAGAGTTCAATTAACTACTTAAGTTATGGAGATAAAATTGATAAACAGAGAACAAAAGTGTTACCGCATGCCCCCCTAATTTCAAAGTCTGGGCTGTTAGTAGAATAATTCTTTGATGATTTCCAAATACCAAAGTAATATTTTGTCCTAACCCCAAATTCAAACTCATAAATGACAGAAATGTCATGTTTTAATCAGTTTATTTGTTTTTACTTGTATACTATTCCTGATTTTGTAGCTAAATGGTTAAATGTGTTGCGTAGGGAGCCCTTAAGCTCGAGACTTACTGGGTTCGAATCCTGGGGAAACAATAGATTGTTTCATCTGGTGGGGCACAAAAGCCTGATAAACTACTTGTTTGTACATGAAACCAATCAATGAACCTGACACTGAAATGTTTTCATCCCCATTCCGAAGGGGGGTCTTTAAAACAAAGTGATATCAGACCCCCGGTCTGATATCACTTTGTGAAGAATTAAATTTATGTAGATGAGAAGCCGTATACCTGTGAGCAGTGTGGACAGTCCTTTATAACGGCAAGCAAACTGGGAAGACACAACAAACGACTACATCTATCTGTGAGGTACCAATGTCGGATATGCTATAAACAGTTCTATAGGTAAGATCTTAATACAAGTCTAGTTTAGTCGTATTTTTAGTTTATATGTTATATAAAACATTTTTAACGGTTTAAAATACGGAATAATTACTTTCTATTGTGACCCGATGTGTCCAGATTGTATAGAAAGAGGTCTAAAAATTTTACTCGGAACGCCTTATCAGTTAAAAAAAACATGTTTAACGGTTTAAACGTAAAATGCTTATTTTAATTAATATTTTACATTTATTTGAACCCAAAAGTTTCGGATGCTCTGCAGCAGCCATGGCCTCGAAGTTTTAGTTTTAAGTTAGTGTTAAATTTATTATTATTCGTTATTTTTCGTAAACTACAAACAATACTTCGTTAATCGTGACTTCTATCCCTCACACCCTCGGCCAGAAGATAATTTAGCGTTTGAATCCGTTTGAATTCTTTTAAGTCTACTTTAGCATTGTTTAGTGAAGCAACTTGCCTAAACAATATTTAGCAGCATTCATTTATAGATCTAGTTTATATGAATGCAGTCTATTTTATAAAAACACTTTCAACGGTTTAAAACGCGATATACATTAGTTACATTTATTTGAAAAATTGGCCAGTTTCGCCAAACACCAAAATATCAAGTTCGACGGAACAGATGGCGCTTTCGTAGCAGTTTTTTATGTTTGACGTCGGAGACACCCTCCATCTTTAGTCTCCCCGTGACCATGGCTGCTGCAAAGCATCCGAAACGTCGGGCCGTAATTAACATAATTTTCAAATAAGTTTAACTAAAATATATCGCGGTTTACACAGTTATAGTGTTTCATTTAAATGTCTACCACTCGCGTAAACTACAGACAGTATTTAATCTTTGTCAATAATATCGAAGGTCACAGCTGAAGAATCAATTACAAAAAAAAAACTTAAAAATGAATGAGAGCTGAAATGATAAGGATGTATAGGTAATAAGAGCATGTAGGGCGTGGCTACAGTAATAGCGACAAGGATTTGATAAGAAGTACTATATCATTATTTAATTCTTAAAAGATATACTTACAATCATTCTTTCATACATATTTCTGGGCTATCATGAACCGTTTTTGCAGCGTACGCCTCGGATACCCATAATTGTGGATAATGTTCCGGTTTTTTCTCACATTTCTTGCTGTATCTTCGCTTGTATTAGTCCCAGAGCGACGTTTTATACAGTAGTTTCTGAGATTAACGCGTTCAAACAAACTCTTCAGCTTTAAAAAGTTGTTTAGATGTGTTTCCTAACATACTAGTACCTAATATTATATTACATTCCAGCTTACTTTTATCAAAATCCAGTTAGTAGTTTTGAGATAAAAGTAACTAATAATGCTTACATACTTACGCTTATAATCTTGACATTTCACATAACCTTAAATTATGGTGTAAATTAATGGGGGTCTAAGTCTTACACTAGTTTCGGCCGGTCGTGGCACAGATTATGCCCTGCCTGTTAATTCAAAATCGTTCAACAGACAGAAACCGTATTTGCTTTTTCGTATCAGAACCTATTTAGTAGTACATTACAATAAATCAAACGCTTCTTTTAGTAGTTAGTATTTTTTTAAATTTAGCAAATCGCTATCACTGAGGACACCGCCTTATTGAGTGAGTTTAACGACTTTAGGGAAATACAAAATAAATTTTACGCAACTTAGAGCATCCGGAACGGAAATTGCTTTAAAAAGAAATGTATTCATTAATTTTCACTGTCAAAATTAATATGGTAAAAACCTAAAATTCCTAATGCTTATATTCAAGAGATTATGTGTACGCTGAGCTCTAGAGGTCTTAGGGTTGAACCCTGAAGAAACATGTTAAAATATTGAATTGTACTATGCCCCACGTGACCACTGCTGCAAAGCATCCGAAACATCGTCGGTAAAATATATTATACATCAGTTAGCTAGTAAATTTCGCGTTTTAAACCGCTGACAGTGTTTGAATGTGTACTATTCGCGTAAACTGCAGACAATAAATACTTTCTAGTAAGAAATACATGTGAAACTGACACGGAATTGTGTCCGCTACACTAGTGAAAAATTTTTTCATAGATTCATTTTACGACAAATAGATTTAATATAAAAAATAATGGTGTACCTCAGATATGTCTCTATAAATCGAAGATTTTGTGGCAATAAATTATTGTATATATATACATGTAGTTTTAAATATTAATAATGCTCAAATGAAACATTTTCAACAGTTTACAATGCGAAATATATTCGTTCACTTAGAGAAATAAATTACCACGTCCGGCAAAAAATCTGACACGTTGGGTGATTGTAAAAATAAGTATAAGTTAAAAATATATATATTTATTGTAGCAATAAAAATAATTTTACAATCTTGTCTGTTTTTGGCCGGGAATGGACATTTAAGTATCTTTAATTTTGAATTTAATTATCTCCCGAATCTTTAAGTAGAACTTGAAAGATCAAACTAATATAGTTGGCGTTTAAAGTGTCATAATTCCCGTTATGTTTAATTACAGATTTGAAATATTAACACGACATTTTGATAAGAAACACGCAGACGATAAGTTAGAGGGCGAGCCGTATGGTGAGTTTATTTTATGTCTGTAAAGTTATTTTATTTTCTGTAATTACAATTTAAAACTTAAATGCATGAGGTTGTGGTTCGAATCCCGGATAAACATAGAGCCAAACAGCCGTGAAAGTCTTTTCGAGAGCTTGATTGTTAATCGATTACAATAAATTCCACAGTAATGTAAACCCTATACCCCAGTGTGGGGACGTGGGGCTTTGCTGCCTAGACTAGTAATCAGTATCAACGGGTCGTGAATTCGATCCTCACGTGGTCCAATATGCTTCTAATTAATTTTTAATTTTTCCGAAACATGTTGGATTGTATGTGAAAAATATATTAAGTAATTAATAAATAGACAATCTTAAATTATTATCGATTAAATTTTTTGATTATGTATTTCTGCTAATTATTAAATAACATATATATTGTAAGCAAAATAATATTATTTCATAGAGTAGTGGAAGAACAAAGGATCAAAAAAAAAACTCACCGAATTAGTTGACGATCGTCTTTCGCGGATGTGCGGTTGAAATAAAACTTTTCACTAAACAATTGAATACAAAGTGAAGACGCGTAAATTGTCAGTAATGACGTGTAAATGTTAATCGGTAGAGCAAAAAAACACGCCGTGGTCGAGTCCCGCCCATCTCAATATTATAAATGGTCTAAAAGACTTTCAATTCAAACCGCTAGATACTAAGATTAGCGCGGTCAAACAACGAAATTCTTTAGTCTTTGTATCACTAGCTGTGTCAGCGACTTTGTCTGCGTAGAATAGTTATTTTGAGCATATTAGCGTCGCGTACTTTTTTTAGATAATTTAAAGAGAAATTTTCTTGAACAGTTTTTGCAGTCTACGCATCGGAAACCCACAAAGATGAATAATGTCACGTCGAACCAGTAGTTTAGTAGATTAGCGCATTCAAACTAACAAACTCTTCAGCTTTATACATTAATATAGATATAGATGGTCTAACCCATCACAAAAGTTATATTTTAATTTTAAAAATCGAACGCGCGATATAATATCCACGCGTTGAGGTTCATGTCCAGTGCCTGTCTGCATACGAAAATCTTTATTGATAAAATTAAAAACTGTCTATAGTTTGCGCGAGTACGGTATGATGGTGGAAATTTTCTTAGGAAATTCCTTGTCCTAGTCGGAAGTTTGAAAATAAGTGTGCTTCGAAGAGCATGTGGCTTTGACCCTAGTTATCACTAACCCACACTAGAGCAACCAGCCTCCCAGAATTGTTATTTTTTTTTAACTCAATATTATACTTTTAATTTTATCATTTAAATAAAACACTTTAACGGTTTAAAACGCTATATACCTGTTTTGACGTTCATAAGTGTACTAAGCTACCTACATGAATAAATTATTTTTGATTTGATTATAACTTCGGCCCGACGTTTCGGATGCTTTGCAGCAGCCGTGGTCACGGGGAGACTCAAATAAGTATTATATTTTGCATTTGACGAAAATGACTAAAGCCTACTTTAATTTACCAAAAAAATCATTTTCACTAATATATAGCGTTTTAAACCGTTAAAGTGTTTTATTTAAATGATAAAATTAAAAGTTTAATATTGAGTTTAAAAAAAATTACAATTCTGGAAGGCTGGTTGCTCTAGTGTGGGTTGGTGATAACTAGGGTCAAAGCCACATGCTCCTTGAAGCACACTTATTTTCAAACTTGCGACTAGGACAAGGAGTTTCCTAAGAAAAATTCCACAACCATACCACCAAAATATTCCATTCCACCCAATTCAAGTATCTATTGAAATGAAAACTTGGGCCTTGCAACCTTGTATTTGAGTGTAGTATACCAATATGCACAATAAATATTTAAATAGACAATATGTTTCCAGATTTCAACGCAATACTACCATATCTAAAAGAACTGGAAGAACAACTGCGTGAGAAGCAAGAAGAAGAAAAGGTGAAACCGCCAGAAGACATATGGTCGGGCGATTGGCCGAGTGAACTGAAAGACAAAGACCAAAAACTACCAGCAGACCAAAACAATGTCAAGGATTGCAAAATAGAAATAAGTATAGAAGAAGTGAAAGTGTCAATGGACGAAGTGGAGGTCAAGCAGGAGACAGATGATGTTGTTAATGATGATGATGTTTACAATGATGATGTTATTGACAGTTATGCGAATAACGATTACGATGCCGGATTCACTGGTGATGTTAAAGAGGAGATAAGAGTTAAGAACGAAGGAGATAGAGACGAGTAAGAGTCTCACTTTTTTTATTAATTTGTGTTCAAAAATAAATCGTTGCCTAATATTAAATTAAGTGGGTTCGAATTCCGGAAAAACAAATAAGTTTAGATCGCAAAGAAATCTGTGATTAGTGAATCGGATATAAATGTCTTACCCATGCCCCATACAGGGAACGAGTTATTTGTTACGTACGTGTGTCTGTCGTATATGCAAGTAGATTAAATGCGTCTAATATAAAATACTTAACGGTTTAAAACAGGAAATAAGTTTTAATTTGAACGGTTATCCTGTGACCATGGCTGCTGCAAAGCATCTGAAAGACGGGTAAAAATAAGTTAACTATTAATCGCTTTTTAAATCGTTAATATAGATTTAAATAAAACACTATTGACGGTTTAATTAAAACGCGACATATATTGGGTTATAAAGCATACGAACGTCGGTCCTATAAAGAAATTAATAAGTTAAGCAATATATTGCTCATTTTAAACCATTAAGACTGTTTTATTTTAATGTGTATCACTTGCGTTAATAACAGACAGCCGCAAATGAAGCTTTATGTTAATTTAAATAAAAAATATTTTCAGCGATTCAGACGAAGACTACTTCCCATCAAACACTTGGTTGAAGGCCGAAGAGTCCTTGGACTCCGCTCCAGTGCCAACGAACGGTGTCAAATGTCCCGTCTGCAACAAGAGTCTTAGCACGGCGTCGTATATGCGTGTGCATATGCGGACACACACCGGCGAAAAGCCCTTCAAGTGTTTCATATGCAACATGGGATTTATCACCGCCAGCAAGATGCATAGGCACGTGCTGACACACCCCGAGTCTTTGAAGGGTGAGTTTTATGAAAGGGTGATTATATGAGGGTAGATGTACAATTCACAATTCAACTTTTTGAAATCTACCCACATCGAATGTGGGTAGTTTAAAAAAGGTGAATTATTGAAAAAGACACAGATTTACGTCTATAGATGTAAATTTCTAGTTCGCAGTGCATTGATTTTAGATGTCCTATGGCTGGTGCGTGCACCTTCCATAACTTGAACTCGATCTAAGCGAGTAGTAATCTCTTTAATAAAACACGTTGAACGGTTTAAAACGCGAAGCGTGACCACAACTGGTGCAAAGCATCCGAAACGTAGTGTCGCAGTTAAAATAACTTTTTCGCGTATTCTGTTATTGTTTCACGTTTAAAACCGTTATAAGTGTACAATTGTGAACATGAAATTAACGAATTAATGTACGTTTCAGATCATCCGAAGGCAGAAAATAAAGTTGATATCAAAGATGAACAGAATGAAAATAATGAAAAGTAAGTTTTTTATATTAATGTACTATTTTGTGGGGGGGGGGAGTTGTTTAATGCACATAAATGTCTCTTTCTCTGATCGGACTTTTACAGGCAAGTTCGTCAGACTTTGTGCTCTAATAGATTACGTGCGAGCCGGTCTAGGATTCGAATCTGGGACCTCGTGATCTGAAGAGTGTTTGTTTTGTTTGGACGCGCTAATCTCGGGAACTACTTCGAATTTATTTTTTTCTTGCGGTTGGAATATTTATAGAGGAAGGCTTAATAAGAGTTATAAGACATCACGCTCCGACGGCGAATAGACAGTGGGAAATGTAGAAAAAACCGGGAAAGTTATCCATCTTTGAGGGCAAAAATGGCTTACGATACTAAAAAAATATGTACGAAAGAATGATTCCTCTTTAAATTATCAAAAAAATGTCCGCCATGGTGTATGTCTATCTGTTAGGATTAACTCGCGAGAACCTTTTTTATGGTAAATACTGACTGTAGTTTACGCGAGTTGTACATATTTAATTGAAACACTTTAACGTTTAAAACGCGATATTTATTGGTTAAATTAATTTGAAAATTATTTTTAACTTTGCCCCGACGTTTCGTCCACGTGACCGCGGCTGCTGCAAATCATCCGAAACGTCACGTTAAAAATAATTTCCAAATAAGTTCAACTAATATATATCGTGTTTGAAACAGTACCGACTTACGTCTCGTTGCGGAAGGTAGTGCGTTGACCTTTAAAAAAATGGCGAAGTGTGTAAAGTGCAATAAACTTATTACTAAAAAAATACCGGGGCTACAATGCATGAAATGCAATAAATGGGTGCATGGAACATGTGCTAGTTTATCGTCTGATCAGCTCAGTGTTTTGTTCTCCACCGAATCCGCCGATTGGAAGTGTCGAAACTGTGCGGGTATCTGCAGACCGAAGCGTCTTTCATTTATTATGCCCGATCAAGAAGAAGAAAACAACGATATGGAGAACCTTCCTAAGTCAAACTATAGGGAATCCATAATGAATGATATTCGAAGTGAAATAAGAGAGATTATGCAAACGGAGCTGCACAGTGTGTTACAGTTTTACATAGATAGAATGGACGAGTATGAGAGCAAAATTCAACGGTATGAAAATCAAATTAGAGACCTAACAAACCACAGTAAAAATATGGATCTCAAAGTAAGCGTTCTACAACAAAAAATGAACAATCACGAACAAAACATGCTTCAAAACTATGCCGAAGTCCATGGAATTGAAGAAAAAGAGGGAGAAAATATAACAGATATTTGCCTATCCTTATGCCAAAAATTAAACGAGCCGACAAACAATATAATTAAAGCCTATAGAAAAAAAATTAAAAAAACAGAAGAGCAGAAAAATAAGCCATCGCCCATAGTTATGGTATTTTCTAATGAGGGTCACAAAAATAACATAATTGAGGCGTCAAAAACACGGAAAATACTTAACAGTGATCTAGGCTTACATTCTAATACAAGAATAAAGGTTTTTACATCGCTTACACCTAACAATGCGTTTTTGCTGTGGAAAGCAAAGCAATTACTATTCGAAAATGAATTATGTAAGTTTGTTTGGTTCAAAAACGGAGTAATCAAAGCTAGAAAAACTGAAAAAGATATAATACACATTATCAGGTCGGAGGATGACATTAGGAGGGTAAAGAATTTATTTCAAAATAAAACATTTAACATTACAAGAGAAGAACAAGAGGACGAGTAATTGATATAGGTATATCTCTGCAATTTAAGTTAACCAACTAACATGGAAACTATAACTTCAAGCATAGTAGAAACGAATCATGATTGTTGGAACGAATTCACAGAAGACATACCAGCACGCAGCCATCCACTATTAGTTTTACACGTTAACATTAGATCTATGATTAAAAATTTCTCCCAGCTAGAACATATTATAAGTACAAGTTCCTCAATAATCAGCATGATAGCAATCACGGAAGCGAATATCTCAAACGGGTGTGCCAAGCTGTTCGAAATTAAGGACTATGAAATGTACTATGCCCTTCGTGACAAGAGGAAAGGAGGTGGCGTTATTCTGTACGTGCATAACAGTCTAACATTTCACCGGCATCAAACCTCCACGCGCAGTTACGAGTGTGTGTCGGGTGCTATAACGACGAGTCATAACTACCAAGTGTCAGTGTGTGTTGTGTATAGGCCCCCATCGACGAATCAGTCCCTCTTTATCTCTGAGCTATCCGAACAGTTAAAGTGTTCCCCACCCAAGTGTAATATAATCGTTCTAGGCGATATAAATATAGATTTAAGCAAGAAAGACAATAAGTATGTAAAACGTTACTTAAGCGAATTAAGCCAACTAGGACTAGAACCGGGCATCAGTCAATACACGCGTATTCAATTGAGTAGTAATAGAATAACAAAGACATGCATTGATCATATTTTTATTCGTGAAACGTCTTGCAATGTACGGAATGCAAAGGTATTAAAAACAGCTGTCATTAACAATGCGCTCGCGGACCATTTCATTACAGGTTACGCGATAACAGATTCTATTCATTCGGTCCCGCTTTACAAGACTGTTTCTAAGCTCGATAATAATAAGGTTCAAACTCTATTGTGCGATGTTGACTGGCGGCCGGCGCTTACCTACGAAGATCCTAATGCGATCGTAGAATTTATTGTAAATAAATTTAAGAATATTTACGAAAAATGTACATATAATTATAAGGTCAAAGTGAACAAAAGGTCTTCATGTAACTGGGTCAACAAAAAAATGTTAAATATGTGCGCGAAAAGAGACTGTTTGTTTAAAAATTGGATGATAGATGTAAGTAATAAATATAACCAGCTAATTTACAATAAGTTTAGGAACAAGACTAATAAATACATAAACAAAATAAAAAATCAAAGTATTAAAGAAAACATAGCAGAGAACTATAGGAACACCAAAAAAGTATGGGCAATCGTTAACCAAATCACGGGAAAAATTACAAAATCTATCGATTCATTAATTACCAAAGCTTTTGAAATGTATAATGTTAAAGACTTAGTTAATACCTTCGCTACGGAATTTGACGAAAATGTAAAAAACTTAAGCTACTCATGTCCGAAACAATTTATAACAGTAGATTCGTACATAAACACCCCACAGAGTACATTAAGATTAAAAAAAGCAACTTGCGAGATTGTTGAAAAGATAATTGAGCACATAAATATTAAAAAAAGTCCCGGATTTGACGGCGTCAGGGCTATTGACGTGAAATATGTAACTAAATCTCTAGCCCCGATTATAACGCACTTAATTAACGCTTGCATAAATAAAGTAAAATATCCAGATCTTCTTAAAATAGGAATAATAAGACCGATACATAAAAAAGGTAAATACAACTGTATAAATAATTATAGGCCGATAACGATTCTCTCCTGTATTGACAAAATTATAGAAAAGTACCTGGGTGAGGAAATCAATTTATTTTTGTCAAGAAATAAGATAATTCACGATCGTCAATATGGCTTTCAGAAAAATAAAAGCACAAGTCAGCTACTATGCAAGTTTACAAACGAAGTCAACACAGCACTGAACGAAAGAAAGCATGTACTTGCTATATTTATAGACTTTAGCAAAGCGTTCGAAACTTTAAATTTTAAAACACTATATTGTAAATTAGCACAAAACGGATTACAGGGACCTCTTCTTAAAATATTTCAAAGCTATCACCAAAGCCGAAAAACAACTGTAAAAATCAATGATCAGTTTAGCGACTTTGTGCAGACAGAAGTGGGCACAGCTCAAGGGTCAATTTTAGGAACGACTGAGTATTTGTTATACTGTAACGATTTGCCCAATGTCCTAAAGGAGAGTTCAATTTATCAATTCGCAGACGACACCTGTATATTTGTCGCTGAAAAAAACATTGTGAGCGCGCAAAATAAGTTACAAGCCGATTTCGACAGGCTGTGCAAGTGGGCGCACGATGTTGGTCTAGTAATTAACACAGAAAAAACGAAAATGATGCACATCTCCTCTGCTTATATGGCAGCCAGTGTTAGACCAAGTATTCGTGCGCACACACACAAATGTATGCATGGCGGCATAAATTACTCCTGCATCTGTCCGAATGTCGGTCAAACCACGTCTCACACGTATCTTGGTCTTTTAATAGACAATAAACTTAATTGGAAACTTCACGTGGGAAAGATCTGCAGCAAGCTGAGGGCTATTCTGTCCAACTTTGCGGTGCTCAAATATAGGCTCCCCTTTTCTACACTGAAGCTTTTGTACAACGCCCTAGCGGACTCAGTTATCGGATACGGGCTTAGTAGCTATGGACGAACATTTAAATCTGTTTTACAAGACATATATTCGCTACAGGTCCGTATCCTCAAAGCAATTGTCCCAAGATCGGTTAGGGCGAAGTACATAGGAAGCGAGGGGGGTTTGTTTGAGTACTGCAAGGTAATGAACGTTTTCAATAAAGTGAAATATTTTATTCTTTGTGAAGAAATTGAAAACGTTCCGTCGCTCAAGTATAGAACTAGACCTGAAAATTTAAGGAAACTTGCTTATATACCCAGGTATGAATTGCCGCTAACGAGCAATTCGTATGGCAAACGTACCTGGCAGTACATGTTACCTCTGTACTTGAACGACTTGGACAGTGATACGCGCGACATGCTGTTAGATAGGCCGGATAGATGCAGGGGGATTTTAAAGAGCTTTTATAGACGTAATATATCTTAAGGTACCAAAGCCGGTTAGCATAAACCGTAAGACGGTTTCTTTACCGGTTTAATTATTGTTAAACAAAATTATAATGTAAAAGAAGTTAAATAAAATAAATAAATAAAATAAACCGTTAAAGTGTTTCATTTAAACGTTTTTATGGTAATCAAATTGGGTCCAAATATTGCGTATGGCAAAAGAACGTTTCCCAATTTAGCTAGTTTTTTATAACTACAAACAATAAGTAATATTACAGGGAAGAAGTGAAGAGAAACAAGAAGACTTCAAAGAAGATGTGTGAGAAGAGTAAGAAATACAGGTCGAGACCGCACGCTTGCGAATACTGCCACAAGAGGTTCTTGCGGCTGGATACGTTACAGGTAACCCTAGGTGCCCTAAAACCCTTTAACGGTTCGAAACGTGATATATATTAGTGCGTTAGACTTTGACGTTTCGGATGCGTCGCAGCAGCCGTGGTCACGGGGAGACTAAAAATGGAGGATGTCTCTGACGTCAAAGTAAAAAATTGCTACGCTAGCGCCATCTGCTCTTTCGTAGTTGGTATTTGGCGAAACTGTTCGGGTACTTGCAGAATTTACTAAAATTAATATAAATTATTATTTTCACGTATGACATAAGTAAAAAATCTTTTGAAAGTATCTACGACACGGGCGGGACTAGAACCCGCAACCAATCGCTCCGTGCTGTTGCTCTAACCACTTGAGCTACCGTGTCATCGACGAGTTTTAAACCGTTAATATGTTAAATTGTAGTTTTTAAAATCTATGGTGTTCTGGTATCTTCAGATACACAAGAAGTCCCACGAAGGAGAAGAGAAGAAGTACAAGTGCTACTTCTGCCTCCTGGAGCTGCAGGACGAAGAGAAGTTGAAGAGCCACGAAGCGACGCACACGGGACCGAAGCCCTACGAATGTACCATCTGCAATAAGCTCTATAAGAAGAGAGAGAGTATGGTATGTATAGTCTGTGGTAACGGAAAAATGAAAATACTTAACGGTTAAGAACACGAAATATATTAAATACTGTGTAGTTTACGCGAGTAGTACACGTTTTAGTTGGGCTTGTTAGAATTTTTTTTTTTTATTACGGCCCGACGTTTCGGATGCTTTGCAGCAGCTGTGGTCGCGGGGAGGCTGACCCCGCAAACTGAACCAATATATCGCGTTTTAAACGGTTAAAGTATTTTGTTTAAACGAAATATATTAGATAACTGGCTGGCTGGGCTGCTGCAAATTTAAAAATGGTCCAGTTTAGATATATATTTGCGTTTTAAACCGTTTAGTATTTATTGTAATGTGTCCTAAGTGGCAAGTAACATATTTCTTTATATATTGGTATAGATATGGGTTACACCCCCTATAAAGGTATCCATGCTGTATGCCTCTACTAAAAAGAATCCTACAGCTCGTTACAGCTCAATCTCTCGTAATTCCAGCTGTACCACAGAAAGAACCACAAGCCGGAACGGGAGTTCATCTGTGACATATGCACGAAGTCATTCAACGCGCAATGCAAGCTGCAAAGGCATATAATAACACATAGCGTGGATAAATATATGCTGAAGTACGAATGTCCTGTGTGTGCGCATATGTTCAACACGAAGTACCATGTACAGATGCACCTGGCCACTCACCAGAGGGAGGGAGTGTGAGTATGAGTTTTAAAACATTCATTTAGATTGTAAAATTTGATAAGGGCGGGACCTGAACTGGCGTCTACAGTGTTCGGATCTGTTGCTCAACCAATTGAGCTGCGGTGTCCTGAATGCTGCAGAGCATCCGAAACGCGGGTCTTCTTGTGTAATGAACGGAATTTCACTTTATTTTTTTTTTTATATTACAGTTTATGTTAGTTACAATAATACAAACTTAACTATCCTTACAGGATTCAAGAGGAGAACCGCAACGAGATCCTGGCCATGGTGCTGCAGAACGCGCGCCGGATACCGCGGAAGGGGGAAACCCACACGCTGACGGACGTCATCCCCTCGGACGAGCGAAGCCGCGTCTGCAACATCTGCGGCCAGGTCTTCCAGCACTTCTACTACCTGGAAGAGCACCTAAAGAGCCACGGGTCCAAGATCGCGATAGAGAACATCGATAAAGAGGAGGAGAAGAAGTACATCTGTGAGGTCTGCAACAAGGGTTTCAAACTCCACTACTACCTGAAACTCCACAGCTTCACCCACACCAAGGAGAAGCCGTTCATCTGCCAGCAGTGCGGCAAGGGGTTCATCACCAGGGGCAAGTTGAAACGCCACCTGGAGACCCATACGGGGCTCAAGAAGTACCAGTGCCACATTTGTTGCAAGTTCTTCACGAGACCCAGTTATTTGAGGATTCACGTGCGGACGATACACGGGGCGCAGTTGGTGCGGTTGGGGTTGACGTGAGTGGGGGTTGGTTGGATTAAAGGGGGGGGGGATCTGGTGGGTGACAAATTTAATATAGCGAAATCCATGATAAATGATACAGCCGTTATTGTAAAACTGTTTTAAATAGATCCGTTTTTTTTTGAGGCTTTGAACGTCATTGCGTATGTCGAACACATTAACAAGATATTTTGTCTATTCTGGGTTCGAATCCCGCATATGTAATAAAATTTTTTTTGTCGTTACCTCTGTAATATTTTTACAATTTATGTAAAAGTTCAGACAATATACACAATGTGAATAAAATTCGACTCCCAGGCCTTTGTAAGTCACATGCGAATTATACTAATTTAATTAAAACGCTTTAAACGGTTTAAAACGCAAAATTCAAAGCAATATAGTGTCCCGTGCAAGCTGCTGCAAAGCATTCAAAAGGTCGGGCCGTAGTTAAACGGATTTAAAAGTTAGATCATATTTATAGTTTTAAACCGTTCAAAGTGTTTTATTTATTTGTATGTATTCAATATCTACACAGAAATGACATAATTATATACAGCATGGCTGTGAGTGTCACGATTTAAAAGTCTTTTTTTTTAACGTTCAATCATTTTATACATTCAATATCTAGACGCATATGACAAAGTTTTCCCCCCCCGGTTTCCCCGCCTTAAAATAACTCATATCTTTCTCGTTTTAAACCGTCAATGTTTGATTCATTTTATACATTCACCATATAATTAAACAGCACCTTATTCCAAAAAATACTCATATCTTTCTCTTTTACTTTTTAAAAGTTTTTTAATCCTTTTTTTCCTTCCCCCCGGCTGTAACTGTCACTATGTTAAAATAACTTATATATTTCGCGTTTCAAACCGTTTAAAAGTGTTTTATTTCAATATGATTTTGATTATTTGCACGGGATTTATGTAAATATTGCTGTTTTAAACATGTAAATACTTTTGTGCGGGTATTAGACGTAAGGTGGTGGTTCTACGAAGAGGACTTTTTCAGTTGGGTTTATCTTTGAAGGGCATTTTTTAGTTTCTTTGTATGCTTATGGAACACAGACAAGCATGTAGCATCTTTGGATATTCGGATATCCACAGACTAAAATCTTGTTATTTGTGGACTCGGTGGGGATCGAACCCAGGACCCGTTGGTTATTATCCCAATGCTATTGGACCAACGAGCGCGTGGTTTAAACGATTTTTAAAAACTATGAAATTAAGTTTTTACTTCATTTAATAAACCAAACTTATTTACAATTTCAAATTATGTTTTATGTGAAAATGCTCTCTGCAATATATTTTTTAATTTTCGGTCAAACTTGGGAGGTTCGGCTGAAACTGTGTAATTAGCAATAATTTTAAATAAATATAGAATTGTTAATATTTTGTATAAATGGACGATTAAAATATTACGTTTTTTATTGTTTTTTTTTATTAAAAAAAACTGTAAACCTATTGCAAATAAAACTTAAGATTCCTTAAAAGATTATATTTAGTCTACCGGGCGTCGAACCCCCGATATTCACGACTAGTAGAGTCTACATGATCCTAGACCAAGATGGTCGAAAATCTATACTAATATATAAAGCTGAAGAGTGTGTTTGTTTGAACGCGCTAATTTCAGGAACTACGGGTTCGAAATTGAATTATTTTCGCGCCGGTTAGAACATTTATCAATATGTTGAGTAAATTCGACGATGGAGTGTAGGACTCGGTAGCTCAATTCGTTAGAGCAACGGCACGGTTCGATGACGATGCCGGTTCAAGTCCTGCCCGAAGCGATTTTCAATTTATAATCGATTTTTAGCTTAAAAAAAGTTCAGCCCGAGCATGCTGGAGGATTCTTCTTTGTAAAGACTGTGTCCTGGGCCTGGTGGCAGAAGATATTGAGAACCAATTTGTTCCCAAATAAATTTGTTAGGTATTTGAACCAAGCTGTATATATTCGTTTCTAACACTGTGCGGAAAACTGTTGTTTACCTATGTAAATAAAAGACTGTAACAGTTTAAAACGCGATATATTAGTTAAACTTATTTGGGAATGATTTTTAACTTCGGCCCGACGTTTCGGATGCTTTGCAGCAGCCGTGGTCACGGGGAGACTAAAATCATTTTCAAATAAGTTTAAATAATATATCGCGTTTTGAACGTTACAGTGTTTTATTTAAATGTGTACTACTCGCGTAAACTATAGACTGTTGTTTACCTAGACAATGGTAGAGAACCTTCAATGTGCATCCGACTCACGCTTGGCCGTTTAATAAAACACTGTAAACTAGCTTTCATAGTTTAAAAAAAAAGACAAATAAAGTCCAAAAAAAACGTACAGAACCAAAGACGTTCAATAAAACAACGAACGTTTAAAACGAAAAAATGGGTCTTACATATGAGATCGCGTTTAAAACCGTTAAGTTTTTTAAGCCGCGCTATGTACAGAACGCATATAAGCCATAACACAGCAACACATCTTCCGCAGCAACAACACACAATCGCCGGCGACAATCAAAATGTTGTTCACCAAATCACCAAAGGACGCACAAAATTTCGACTCACAACTACACATGATGCTTCTATAACACTGAACCAGGCATTCCAGGAGGGAGCAGCAGCAAATGCAGCAGTGTGCTGCTGATTCTTTCAGGCTGAACTCCGCTTTGCGTTGGCATTTTGGCATTTTGAGTTTACACTTGGTGCAGGAGGGAATTGTTCGCTTGCACGTCCTCGATAGGAAGTTGAGTTGAATTATCTAAAAACACAGTTTTGTACTGTAAACCTTTTACAGCATTTTAAACAATATGTCGCTATTAATTAACGAGCCATGGGTTTGACTCCCACCCACATGGGTCTAACATGTTCTAATCACTTTATCATTTTTCTGAAACATGGTGGACTTCGTCTGGAAATCTGGATATTACCTCGTTTGGGTCACGAACCACCGTGTTCTCATGAAGTCATGAATCGCGTTTCGTTGTCAGAATGTCTAGCCGAAATAGCTCAACAGCGCATCGTTGAGATGTTTTGCGTCTGGGCCACTTCAACTTTCAAATTAATCCTATGCTTGACAATCGTTTTTTGTCATATACATGAAATGCCCTTATAACATCGAAGTCGGACGTGCGGCCGACCTATTTTAGCTTTGGACATCACAGACTAAAACTAAGGTTTACACTTATTATTTATTTATTCAAGACACAGATCACTATAATATATATTACTAGCTGAGCCGGCAAACGTTGTCTTGCCATATAAATAATTTTACTAAAATGTCTATTAAAAAATAAGGGTTGATCGTAGAAGGGTGAAAATTGAGGATTGTATGTATTTTTGTATGTTGTATAATAAAGAAATTAAAAATTTTGTCTAAAAAAAAAAATTAAGGGTGAACAACCCTTATCATTTAGGGGGATGAAAAATAGACGTTGTCCTATTCTCAGACCTACTGAATACACATATCAAATTTGGTGAAAATCGGTCGAGCCGTTTCGCAGGAGTTCAAGTTCGAACACCGTGACACGAGAATTTTATATATTAGATTTTGTAGAAATGTAATGTCATGCTGGATTTCGTCTAGAATCTAGATTAAATGGGTGGTGGGAATGTCAAAATTACGTTCGAGTCAAGAAACACGAAAGCCGTTTGGTTTAATCGGCTTTTGGATTCAGTCTGTGGATTTCCGTAGGTCTATACAAACAAACTCTATGCTTGACTGTAGTTTTGTCATATAAGATAAAATGCCTATACCATCAAAGTAATATGTGCTGCTGGCCTACTTCCGCTTTGAAAATAGACGGAAACTAAAGCCCGTTTACACTACAGCTTTTTACATGTGGTCGAGGATTTATCAGCTCATTTTCGTTATTCGTATTAAACACGAGCTGTGTCAGCGACTTCGTCCAATCGGCCAAATTCGTTCAAGCGAGAATCGGTATTAATTCCAATTCGCATCTGAATTTCGTTTTTACCTACGACCTCTGTCGCATCCCTTCCCGTCGTCCTTGCAAGTTAAGCTTTAAAGATTACATGGATGTTTTTCTCCCCGCCTTTTACACATTTCTCGCTGTATCTTCACTTGTTTTAGTCACAGAGCGATGTTTTATAGTCTATAGCCTTCCTCGATAAATGCTCTAACCAACACAAAAAGAATTTTTCTTTCAATTCGAACCCGTACTTCCCGAGATTAGCGCGTTCAAACAAACAACCTCTTCAGCTTTATATATTAGAACTAGGATTATACTTTAAGGACATGCTCAAAAAATAGTTCTTTAACTTACCCTATCTCTGCAAACATTAGCAACACGCTCCATCCTGCTTGAAAATTTAATATTACCTCAAAAACATGACGATTTCGATAAATACACGACGAAATGATATTTAAAGATCGACGATAATTTTTCTGTGACACGTCAAATTCTTGTGATGACAGAGTTCTTTTTAGTAAAAAACATAAAACCTCAAAGAACTATACACGATACAAATTATTTAATAATTACTTCTAATTGAGGCTGCTAGAGACAGAGTGGCCTAATAAAAAAAGACATGAATTTCAATGAGGAAAATAAATGTACGCAATTAACTTAGGCGGAAATGAATTTGTACTATTATTACCCCAGCCAATAGCATCTAAACAAGATGCGCTATCGTAATTTGGCTTTGGATATTCGGAAATTCACAGAATGCAACCGAAACGCAATTAAGCTTCATGGATTTTTTCTGTGGACGATGGTTTATGAGACGGACGGAATTCTATTCCAACTACGCATTTATCCAGACGTCCAGACGAAGTTGTGTTCATGTTTCAGAAATATATATAAATTGTAAAATTAGAAAAACTTTGGATCTGACGAGGATCGAATCCACGACTCGTTGATTATAGCCATACGTTGCTACCATTAGACCAACGTTAAAACTTGCTTTAGCGGGCTGTAGGTGAATTGGTAGAGCAACAACACGAAGCGTCGTTTCGTTTCGCGTCGGGTTCGAGTCCCTGTCACCTAATTTTAATTTCAAACAATTTCAGTCGAAATCCTGATGAGTCTTGAAGTGTCATAGTGACTCACTCTTATAACGTTTAATTAATTTATTATAGTTCGGAGCCATATTGTGTGAATCAGATGTGCGACCTATTTTTAATTCTATAGACTTAATATTAAGCTTCGACTAAAAGTTGTGGTATATTATGTTTTTATGGCATAGGACAGACAAGCTTCCCTAGCCATATCACAACTAAACAAGATGCGCTCTCGACCTATTTTTGAACATTGGGAATAAATAAAAGCCATAATAAAGCTAATAATTTATTTCTGCTGTCAACCTACCTTTGGATATCAGGTAAATATAAATAAAAGCCATAATAAAACTAATAATTTATTTCAATACAAATACACAAAAGATGCATAGAATGCCAGTGTCATAATTTCAAAGATTACAGATATAAACTTTAAGCTTATAAGTGGTACAGTCGCGCACACAATTTAATGGTTTTTATCGATATCTCAGTTTCATAGTTTGTGATTTTGAAACTGGGGGGGGGGGGACCACTTATAACATTAAAGGGGACTTAGTCATATTTTGTAAACACAGAATGTTGAACCATATTTAACACCAGATGGCATCAACAAAATATAATATAAGTAAAACCGTTCTATAAAGTAGCGAAAAAAGTGTAAAAATATCTAAAAAACGGGGGAAAAGAAACCGCATGACTGGTGTTAAATATTTAATCCTCACATTTCATATCCGGCCCAACGTCCATCCTACTACAACGCCTTAATAAAAATCAACTTGTCATTTTAACAACGCTAGACTTTTTCTAGGTAATGTCAAATCGATAAAACCCAGAGAAAAATAAAAAATAGAAAAAAAATATATAATTTCTCGTAAAACTATCGTAGTAACAAATTACTGTGTACCGTCCGAGGTTTACAACTGACGTCTCCGTCAGTGTTGCCAGTTTGCGTTCTACAATACCCATGGATCCACCGTCTTGTATCGCGTCGTTTAAACGAAAAATAATAAAAAAAATCTACGAAAGTAGGCTAGCCGATAAATTCTTAAATGTACATCGATAGTGCTATATATTATCTTTATTTTTTGCAATGGCAACACAGTACGCCGCCGCCATATTGGACTGGCAGGGGCGTATTGCGTGGCCATTAAAAAGCACGAATGGCGAAGGGGGATTCCCCGACATTAAAAGCATTACATGCTAATTATAAAATACAGAATGCACCGCGAGCGTCCGATCGTTTTGAACACGAGTCGAAATAAAACCGTTTCAACAATTAATTAATAACATTTTATCCCAATTAAAACATTTCATTGAGTATTTATCGATCAAAATTCACGGACGCTTCGTATTAAAATTATTTAAACAAATTTAAAATATCAACATCATAAGAGGCTTGGCAAGTTATGATTAATGTTTGCTTCATTATTGCCACACGAAATTCTGCATTACATAGCTCTTATACTATAAACCCATTCACGACTGAACGAAAGATGGAATAAATAAAGTAATAAAATGCATCGTAAAAATTTACAGTTGAAAACATTAAAAAGATAAAAATAAACTTCATAAATTTGTTTAAAACGTTTTCAATATAATTAAAATTTGTGACTACCCTCCTAATATTATCTTTTACTCGATCACTGTTCAAGAACTATCGAACCTTTTTAAATTGTACTGGTATTTCCATTCAGTCCTCAATGGGTGCGCAAGCGTTGCCCAAAAAGATCCCGGCATTCTGCCAAACAGGTGGGGTACATAAAAAATTGGGACCAAGCGAACTCATCAACTGCAAATGTGGTTTCAACCTTAAAATTACAAGTAATTTGAAAGCGAGATGGCAGTGTGAATTGTCAATTTTATCTGTGGACAAAAAAATAAGGTCATAAACTGATACATAAAAGATTTATTTAAATAAAACACTTTAACGGATTAAAACGCAATACACAAAGCATCCGAAACGTTGAGTCACATTTAAAATAAAATAACTAATATACTTCGCGTTCTAAACCGTTAAGTGTTCTATTCAATTGTGTACGCTGTGCTTGTATAAAAAGGATAGTCATTTCTAGTTATATATTCACCTCTAAGCTGGTTGTGGCGTGCTGGACTTCTCCTTCTTCTTCTCTTTCTTCTTCTTGAGGAAGGAGGGGGTCCGGAGGCCCTTCTTCTTCTTCTTGTCCTTCTTGGGCGAGTCCTCAGTTGAAACCTCCTTGGAGGGTGAGCCCTGGGGGTCCAATTGGGATATACACTATTAAAAACCTTCGGCTATTCAGCCAAGTTAGTCTTGGTGTAAATAAAATTACCAATTCCTTAACTTCATTAAATAATTTTAATTTATTAAATTACCTCTTTACTGCTGTGCGAGAAGGTGCTCTGATGCGCGTCAGAGTGATCACCGTTTAGGGTGTGCTCACCTGAAATTAAAACTAAATTTCAAAACTACCCTCTTTAGCTTTTAAACAAAAAATAAAAGCTTAGAACAGACAGAGACTGATCACCTAAGCGTTAAACTTGTCAATCGATCAGCAAAACGGATTCAAAAGCATGTCTGCTACATGATTTAAAACTTAAATTTAAAGATTGTTAGTAAAAGCTTACCTGTAAAGACCAAAACCAATTCTTAAGAACATTACCACATAACATGACATACAGACAAACAAACCCGCATGCAAAAGTTTATTAGTAAAAAAAAACACAAGACATTCAGAAGCAACATAAGACAGACGAATAAACATAAATGGATTCAACATAGACTTTTCGAAATAATTTATTTTATTTTCGAGTCCTATAATGTATAAATTTGATGCACTCGACCTATTTTTACATTGGAAGTTTAAACTGGACGCTGTTGAATACTATATTTTTATGACGTAGGAGGACAGACAAGCATCACGATGCGCTGTCGACCCATTTCGACTTCGGACATTCGGCCGAACAAAAAGTCTATGTCAAAACCTAAATCTGCTTAAAAAACTAAAAACCTAAACGTTATATTAAATTAAACTTAAAAAATGAATATAATTAACAATTAAAAATATGACATTTATTGTTTAGCTGAACTGGCAACTTATAAAATAAAAACTCCATAAAAATACTTTACCCTTGTTATTGAACTAAAACGCACTTAAAGAAAAATCATTCTAAAAATTAAAAGAAATACAACAATTAGCTTCAGTAAGTATATGCTATTAAAACCGTCAAAGATCTTGGAGGAGGAGGAATCGTTGGAAGTTGGAAATATTACATTTTTTTTTGATAGGATAATCGTCTCAAAATGATACCAGATGCGAACAATGGCGAGTGAGTTTTACCATATAATCCAACGTATACTTAGTTTTTTATAAGTTTGAAAAATTTAGGGTAAGTTTTTGAAAGAGATACTTTTCGCGCATAATAAATGATAAATATACGATACCTTGTAAATATAAAAAAGAAATTGTTGTAAATATGAATTTATCATCGTCAAAAGAGTATCACTGAAATCTAATTTGTGCGGTTCCGCTCATTTATAAATATGTGAGTGTCCGATAGAGGGCGCTGGTCGTAACTTATCATACGCTTCCAACATTTCCAAAATCCACGAGTTTGACATTGTAACTTTCTTGGACATCATTTTGGGGGGGGGTAACATAAGCTTTCGCTACTCCATCACATAATATCAAAGACTGTTCTCAAATCTAGTATAGGTTAAGTCACTCATTTCAAAACTCTCCGTTTGCCTAAAATTCGTCAAAATCTTATAAAACAGCGACTCGTCAGCCGGAGGCCAGCTGGACGCTCTACCTCCCCCCCTATTATCATACAGCAGCTTCTCTGTACTGTCATCCAGCTTCGGAGACTCGCAGCTCTGGTACCTTGAGTGGGTATCATTCGAATCACGTGTGTCATCTAAAAGCTCGCTGCGTTTTCGTTCACTTGGCTGATCTAGGATAAAGAAGCTAGGAACCGTATTATCGTCGACAATGTTTAACGATCTCCGTTTCTCGTTTTCCACCTCCATCTCCTCGGTGAAAGACACCCAATACTTCACCCCGCCGGCGTGGGTCGTCTGCGACATTGGTAGCACCTGTGCCTTCTTGATGAATGGCGATAAAATAGACTCGTCTCTTTCGTATAACCGACCTGATTCTGAACGTCTATCTCTTTGGGGCGTAGACGACCTACTATTCGATTCTAGGAATGCATCGTTCATACCCTCTTCCAGAACGAACGTTTCATTCAACGATATGTCGACCGCCGTTCGTTGTGATAAACTTGCATTTATCGAGTTCTCTAGTAAATTACAGATGACATCTGCGGCCATGTCATAACTATTATCCTCATGAACGAATCCCGAGTTAAAATTGTCATCTTGTGATTTGTGGTTTTCATCGTTTGTTTCGCCACTATCATGACTATCGGAGAACGGTAGGTCCTCATTACTCTCAGATGTCGTAGAGCCTAAAGTATCTAAGTACAGAGGTAAACTGTGACTATACTGTGTGTGTGTGTGAACCGTGTTTATATTTGTAGCAAATTTAATAGAATTTATGAGTTTCTTAATATCTGACAAATCTACATCACTTTGTTCTACAGTCAAGTCGTTAAACAACCCAATCCATTCTCGCGATGTCGTATAAAGTATATCTTCTACATCTACAATTGTGACTACTGTCTTGGAGTTACTGGGTTTCTTACGGGCAGTACTCAAACCTACAGCTCTATTAAATATATAGTAAACAATAGCTTCTGCGATTTTAAACGAATTATTCATAAACGAAACGCTTATTTCATGCGACGTTAGGTTATAATTATTACATTCTAAATTATTTATTATTTCGACAATTGAGAACGTATCTTCCGTTTCGTTAAATTGTAAAATATTAGCAATTTTACACTCTTCTGTATCTAGAAGGTTTTTTTCAAATCGGTCGTAGTCAATTCCGTTTAAGAGGACATCTATAATCTCAGTGGCAGCTTCTAACTTCTCAAACTCAGCTGTTGAATCGAAGCTCGTATTTATTTCACAGCTGGAACTTGATCCACGATGACTGTGGTGTGGTACACGTATAGGAGGGTCAGGGGGACGTTTGAAGTCTTTAAATATGGGTTTTCCGTCTAATTGTGTACCATCTCTTGTGTCAGAATTATGGTCAAGTTCCTGGTGTTCAGAGTTTTGAGATTTATTGCTATCACTCGTCGATTCTTCGTAGCTCTTAGATTCTTCTAGTATTGGTTCTAGTGTGAGTGGTTTCGGCGCGTCTCTCTTCTTTAGCGGCGACGTTCTAGGACTGTCACGTCTAGCATAATCATCGCAATAGAAGTTTATAGGAACCGAGTAGTCCCTTATATCTTTCTCTACCAGATCTTTGACTGGACTTTCGTAAGCGACCGCGTCTAAATCGTCTATCATTTCATCAGTGAAGCTGTGGTATTCTCCCTCAGACTCAATAGTGTTATTGGCGAAATCCGTTTGAGTTTCTATCGTGACGTACTCAGCTCTGTAGATGTTTTCTGTTTGATCAATATTTATATCCTTCTTAACGTTGTCTTTAGCCAAAATAACAGTATTGTCCTGTAGAGCTACATCATCGAAATAATTATCCTCATTAAACTCTTGAGATTCAACGAACTCCTCTTTCCCATTCAAACTTTGTACTGGTACTTCGGCTTTCTTTTTGGCAAAGTCTGGTTTCACATAAAACTCTATCTCTTCTATCTTCTTCGGTATATTATCTATGGAGTAATATATCGAGCCAAACTGTTTGTAGCGTGCATCGATTTTTGGCAACTCCCACCGGGAGCGAGTGTCGATAGCGCCACAGCTGTTGCATTTGGGTACATGAAAATGTGTCGGTTCCGGATCCTTGATGTATGAGTTGACGAAAGCGCTGTGAGACCGCGTCCTATATAGATTACTCGTGTCTGTTTTAACTCGTCTAGGCAATGATCGCGTGCGCATCTGATATTTGGGATCGAAATCCAACGATTGTATGGAATATAGACTAGACTGACTGCTTAGGGTGTCCGCGTTATAGGTTGCTAGGGCGTTACTAGCTAACTTAGGGTTTAGGCTAAGTTTACATTTTGGGGCTTCAAACTTTTGCGTTACAAGGCTAAAGTTAGGGCTCCGGGAATAGCTGTGCAGGGTTCTTTTGTGAGCATCGTGCGGTGATATTGTTAGTTTTGTACCTGAAGCCAAATGTGAATTATCAAGCAGTGCAACACATTAAAGACATAGAAAATAAGATTGAAAACTTCAAAGAGAAACTATTTTTGGCACAAAAATTTACCACACGGGCAAGATTAACCATCAACAGTATACGTCTATTGCTCTAACCATTTGAGCTACCGTGTCCTACACGCCATCGTCGAATTTTTCGCGCGAGGTACTTGCAATTATAAAAACATTTTTAATTTATATAATGCCATCATGTCCAACATATTAATTATATGAAAAATATTAAAGCTTTCAAAGTTTTCCTCTTATGTTCTATATTAGAGCCATTACGCACTGTCGACCTCTCGCACCAAGGCTACTGGGTCGCGAATTACACGGGGGACTGGCGACCATGTGCTTAGGCAACCAAAAGTTTAAACTATAGTTACTTACAGCGACTGGTCGATAATGCGTAACGGCGCTTAGGAAACATAAAAATCACAAGCAAAAATCTCAAACGTAGACCCACAAGTGAGCAGAGTGTTATATATTGTATGAGTTATATTAAACATCTATTTAGATTTGAAAAATAGACACGGCGGGACTTGAACCGACATCTACAGCGACGCGAGCTTTCCGTGTTATAACAACTAAATTTTTAATAAACAATGCTATTATATCAGTAATTTTTTTAAATATGTTACTATTATTTTACTTACATAAATATATTTAACAAATACAAATGATTGAAATAAAACACTAACAGTTTAAAACTCGATAATATATTTTAGTTGAACGTGTTCGAAAATTATTTTTAACAACGGCCCGACGTTTCGGGCGCTTTATAGCGGCCGTGCTTACAGGGTGTCACCCCGTGACCACGGCTGCTCGCGTTTTAAACCGTTAAAGTGTTCTATTACAATGTGTACTACTCGCGTAAACTACAGAGAGTATATATACGAATTATATAACCAACAGCGCGACGTACTTTTTCTTACATCATCTAAACGAATCCAGATACACAGCTATGCCTTAAAATACAAATGGACCAAACAATACAACCACGAGAACAAACAAAGGCTGTTGTGACGTCATACAAAACGCTGAAACAATTTGTAGACAGATACAAATGACGTTTACCAAACATACATACATCCCAAACATTATAGATAGAGACTTTTACTATAGAGGACAGATAAGGTTGCGCTGTCGAACTATTTCGCCTTTGGATATTCGGAAATCCAGACTGCTTTAACATCTCTAGGTAGGTTCCGTGACCCGGGCGGAATCTAGATATTCCCACTCATTTAATATCCAGATTTCCCGTTAATTACTAGCCCTACATTGCTACCATGAAGCGTCATCATTAAAAAAAATATTATACACGTATACAGTATCATACAAATCGTCTTTCAAATAACCCTTTTTTGCTGCAGCTAATTTACTGTTGCAGCAACAGCTGAGTGAGGTCACTTGGACAGCAAAGTATAACACATTTTTTTTTATATTATTGGATAATTTAATATGTGTGGAACCTTTTTTTAAAAATTCTCCTATAATCCGTTGGACTTACCAAATTTCAAACATACATACATCTATCTCTCTTCCGCACTCGTGCGATCTCCTTCACACACCCTACCTCTCACAGTCTGCTGCACAGCTGCGTACTGCGTCCGAATGATTACATGCTGCTCTTGGACAGTCGGCTGTTCAGGAATACTTGGTGACGTCACGCCAGAGTCAATAGGAGAGTCCAAGAAGACTTCGTCATCAGATAACAAATTGGGATCACGATCTTTGTAGAGGAAGATAGTTTTATATATAGAGGACAGAAAAGCAAAAAGTTCTTTTGGTGCTAGATTATGCGCTGTCGTCCTATTTATGGGTTCGGATATTCGGAAATCGGCAGACTGGAACCGAAACGCGATTAAGCTTCTCGGCTTTTCATGTGTGGACGGTGGTAAGTGGCCGAGACGGAATTTTTGATCTTCCAACCACCCATTTTATATCTAGATTTCCAGACGATGTTTAGCATGTTTCAAAAGAATTAAAAAGTGATTAAAAGCATGTCGAGCATGATGAGGATGGGATATACGATCCGTTGATAAGATACCTTTTTTAATTTTAAAATAATCGAACCTGTATCAATCAATGTTACATAAGATTAAGGCACGATTCTAGCAAATAAATACAAGCTACCTAGTATGTATAATATACGTTTTTATTACCACTTTTTAACAGATTAAAACGGGTATTAAAGCATTTATTAAAAACAGAAATCAATAACAAGGAAGTCTAAATACAGTGGCGTTAACATGCGTAATTCCTCGTTTAAAACCGTTTAAAGTGTTTCATTATCGTGTAAACTACAGTCACACAGGGTCGAATAGAAAAAAGTGCACGAAATTTACAGATTAATATTTAACAAGCACATTCAAATAAAAAAAATGGTTATTCATGCAAAATTTATAAAATTTAAAACAGATACACATTTTAATAAAATACTTTAACGGTTTAAAACGCGATATATTATTTAAACTTATTTGAAAATGATTTTAGTCTCCCCGTGACCACGAAACGTCGGGCCGAAGTTAAAAATCATTTCCAATAAGTTTAACTAATATATTGCGTTTTAAACCGTTTTATTTAAATGTGTACTACTTGCGTAAACTATAGACAGTAGAGATATACATATTGATGTACTAAAACCAGTATTTTTTTATATCCATATTTCCTAAAAGTCCTCGCCTCGTGACCCGGACGGAACTTCGATATCACATCACATCAATTTATTGTCCACGTTACCCAGACATATTTTCAACATTTGAAAAGCACAAATTTAATGGTTTAAAACTCGAAATATATTAGTTAAATTCATTTACAAATATTTAAACTACGGCCGGACGTTTCGGATGCGGAGTTCAGCAGCTAATATTTATATATATTTCGCGTTTTAAACCGTCAAAGTGTTTTATTAAAATGTGTTCTACTCGCGTGCACTACAGACGGTCTTTATTTATATTTTAAACGGCGGAATCGATCCCACGAACTCTTCTTAGCACGACACGAGGCGTCATATAGTCATGTCCTTGTTAGTTTTAGTACACCAAGAGAAATGGACCTAGGACTAACCTCTAGTTCTATCTGCATGGTCTCGCTCTGCAGCCAAAAAATCAGTGGTGTCCACTACAACCAAATTACAGCCATTCAAACATGCACAATCAATTCTATATATGTACATACTAGAAGTCAAAAATGCAATGGCTTTACAAATCTATTTATATTATTTACACTTTTAAATAAAACAACTTTAACGGTCTAAAACGCGATACATATTAGTCAAACTTATTTGAAAAGTATTTTAACTACGTCACCATGTAGCCACGGCTGCTGCTGAGCATCCGATATGTTAGGTAGTAGTTAAAATAATGGTCAAAACAGTTTAACTAATATATATCACGTTTTAAACCGTTACAGTGTTTTATTTAAATGCGTACTACTCGCGTAAACTACAGACGGTATTTAACTAGCACTTCTTAAGTGTCACTTTCAAGTTAACACGGGGGGTGGTGGGGGGTTAGAAGGAGATGGGATAAAGGTAGGTATAAAGGAGAGGGAGGGGTAAAGGGGGGATGAGGGGCAGGGGAAGAAAAGCAGAGGGGGGGGGAGATCAGAAGGGGGCAGAGGGGTAAGTTGTAGAGATATATTTATGAATTGAATGGTAAACGAAGTTTCAAATATACTCTAATGCTTAGCAAAATTTCTACTTCCTAGATCGAGATATAGAGTGATACTATAAAATGTTGTTAATCAGTGCTTTAAGAGGGGGGAGGGGGTGAATAGTAGATAGGACTAACATGTAATACAGTGGAACTAGACAGATGTCGACACTGCCTCTTGAAGGCTACACAGCTGTACTTACCGTCGCTCAGTACCACTTCAGGCTGGCTCCTGACCGGCGCTTGCTTCGTTTCTATTCTTAGGACGCGATGTTCTGTGGATAAATTTAGGATAGTAAATTTCTTCAAATTTCAGTTATCAAGTTCAGAGTGTTGGGTGGTATTTTGACGAGTTTGTTGATAGCAAAGTATAGCTAATAATCTGGAGGAGCGTCGTATTGGTCCAAGAAAGACAATACGACTGGGGGAGCCAATTGACACTAGCTACAAGTATGAATGTCCGCTTCTAAAAAAAATCGAGCCGGTGAGGACTGAAACTCGATTGCAGAATGAGATCGTGATCTCCTTACATGAGAAAAGGAGTAAGAGACTCACCATCTCGCGACTCCTCTTCAGTTTCGGATGGCGCGCTCGCCGGGGAGGTGATCTGAGCTGCGCTTATGGCTTCGGATTCGGACAAATCGGTGTCATCTGAAATTGAAGGGTGACTTTTACATAGGTATAATTATGTGTCAAACGCCCGTACAAATTTACTGTATCTTTTCTATAATATTATTTTATAGCATAGCTAGCATAAATCGAAATCGATGTCAATGTTAGCACACTCAAGTGTTTATATTAAAAGCATCATATACAGTCACACCAAAGCTGTTAACTCTACAGCATAACGTTAACAATAACGTATACTTTCCAAACTGTTATACACAACAGTCTCCGATACCCGAAACTGGGGAATATACCCTTAAACTATTCTACAATACATTATGTATTTAAAACAATGAAATTACGTTAAAACGCTAATACTAACACTCGCTACGCTGCTTGCGCTCGACCGTCCGCCGGTACTCGTCGATCTCCGTATCCGTGACGTGGTCGAACGGGTTTCGCGCGTAGGGGGCGCTGTACACCGTCGCGTTGTGTTGGTAACCACGCTGGATGATGCCCTTCGACGCGGCGCCCATCAGCACCTGAAGGAAGGTTTACCACAAATACATAACTATTTTGTTTCCCTCGTGTCCCCCATTTACCCCCCATGGGGCATAAGGCACTACATTTCTGCGTACGTTTCAGATTCATAACCATTTGGTTTCCCTTATCCCCCCCTTTGGGGTAGAGGGCAAATGGATTTCCGTGTCGGTTTAACTGATCGGTATTAGTTTCAGACAAGTGATCAACTGATCAGACCCTGACCGAAACTATCTAGTGTTTTCACGGCATTCGAATCCTGGACCTCTAGCGCTTAACGCAAAGCTAGGAAAAACATTTAACCATTTAGCTACAGACGTGGAATCAAGCAAAACTAATTCATACTATGACGCTTAAGTTAGCCTAGGTAAGACAACAAGCCAGCGCCATCAAGTTTAGATGTTATATGGCTTAGGTATTTTACCTACCACCAAGCGAGCCCTATGTTTGTCAAATCATTTCGACATAACTTACCACATGATCGCCAGTGTGTGTGTTGGCGGCGTCTTCGCCGACCCGCTTCGCCGCTTCGTCCCAGGAGACACCCTCGAGGATGTGGGACTGGGGACCAGCGCTGATCTTGTCAGCGCGACGGTTCTCCTTGATCTGACCATCGTCATAATGTGAAATCATATAGTTATTTCTTATAAGAATGAAAAGCAATCTTTGGTTTTTCATCATAAAAAACCTTCACAGTACGAAAAAAGAAATTAATAAAATCATAAAAGAAAAATAGAAACTTTAAAAGTTAAATATTTCTGTTAAAAAAAGCAATAAAAATATGTTGGGACTCAATGTCATTTAAAAACCAGTTTTTAAATTTATTTTTGACGGCTTAAAGCAAGAACTATATAACTTAATTATAGATAGCTATACATATTGTTCTTGAAGTCTTCTTTAGCAAAAGAGATCAAAAAAGCAAAGAAAGTTTTACAAGAGCAATAAATTATTGCAAGACCTTTCCGAAACTTCATAGTTGAACAATTTACTTATAAATTGAAACCGTTAAAAAGAATTTATTTAATCCACATACCTGCTGCTGCAACTGCTTGAACTCCTTCGGATTGGTGTTTTTGGGCACAAACTGTAGCGTATCGATCTTGACCGGGGTGCTCGAGTGCGCGGGCGACCCATCTTGCACCCACTGTACCACGTCGGGGAAAAGAGATTCAAATTACTCAAAATGTTGCCCCAGTAGCGCAAAGCGTTAGGAGAGGAAGGCGAAAGCATGACAAGCGGAACCTGGTCACATCGAGCATGTACAGTATAGATCGACCCCATGCACAGATAAAGCGTAAACATTCCAATTTCAAAAACAAATCAAACAAATCCAAAATTTTTATAGTCTATGGATCTAAGAGTCACTGTTGACAAAGATGTATATTGTCTATGGATGAGAACGGAACTAAAGTGATTTATGAGGGGATTGTGCAGGGGGGGAGGGCAACATTTCAACCAATTTAAACCTCTTTGGCCCTACACTGTACAGACTCGATGCGAGGGGGATTATCGAAAGTACGATAATTTCCCTCAAAAAAACCAGGGTTGTTAATGAAATGCTGTTGACTGTTTAAACTAAGTTTTAGTGAAGAGTTGACGCAACGTGGAAGTCCCGAAAATATGGCCCCAACCGTCGGGTGAAGACCAATGGTAGAAATAGTCTGAGAGCCGACCGTTCATTTTACAATTTTAATCAAAACACTTCATTGTCCAATCGAGACGCATGTCTGTTTGCTAAAAGTACTGCTACACTCAAATAACACTTTTAACGGTTGAAAACGCGAAATATATTAGTTAGCTTACTGCTACTTGTAATATTTTATTTTAATCTCCAAAAGTTATTTTGCGACAAAATAAAAAATGAGTACGGATTAGTTGCTCATATATGTGAAATGCTCGTGTCCCCCTGTGGAGCATGGGAAGAGCACATTTTGCTGAATATTTAAGTTACAATACAAAACAATATTTATATACGTAATTTTATAGCCTAAATAACACAAATCTTTGATTTGAAAATACCTATAACGCTAAAATGACAGTCGGTATCATCAAAGCAAGACAGCGTCAACATCTACTTTACTTTAATATTTTTTAATCGTCTTAAAACCAACGTTCAAAGGTCTCCAAACGTTTCCATATTAAAATATAAAAACTACTGGTATCTCTAGTTTACGCGGGTAGTACACATTAAAAAACAACACTTTAACGATTTAAAACGCGATGTATATTAGTTTTAAACTGTTAAGGGGTTTTGTTTAAAAACTGCTGCTTTTATTTTAACACTGATCGAGACAAACAGTAGACATTCCAGTACTTCTATCATAATCAACGGTCGGCTCTTACGCTAGTATGAGAGAAAGATTAAAGAAAAAAAAATCTATACTTATTACAGTACCTCTTCGTTGTTAGCGTCCACCCACTGCAAAACATTACATTATTAGTCACACGACACACGAAAAAAGCTTAAAACCGTTAAAACGGTTTAAATCACGTTAAAAAACACTTCAATAGCATTTCACGAGTGCGTCAAAAATACAAAACGTTATTTCGTTTACATAGATTTTTATTTTAGACTCTCTAAAAGCACAAAGTTTTATTTAGAAGCAGTTTCGGAAAATCACTGACACTACGACCAATCTACTGTATACACACGCTAGTAGTACACATTTTAAATAAAGCATTTAACCGTATAAAAAGCGATATAATTAAACTTAAGACCACCCCGTGACCACGGTCGCTGCAAAGCAAAACGTCGGGGCGCAGTTAAAAATAATTTTCAAATAAGTTTAACTCATATATATCGCGTTTTGGACCGTTAAATTGTTTCATTTAAATACGGCAACCATTTATAGAAGCCTTTATAAATAAAAAACGAACTATTCAAAATTTTATCATTTCAGGTCGAGCGCGATTGGGTAAGGGATTTTCCGAAAACGACAGAGACAAACGCACACAACGCGTTATTACACTAAATATATGAATAATATCTTTGAGCTTTAGCTATTTTAGTGTCCATGCACACAATATAACTTTGACGGGGTCGACATTCTAGCGATGTATGATAATCGACGGGTCGTGGATTCGATCACCACCGGGTCTAACATTCTTTCTGAAATCTGGATGTTAAATGGGCGGTTGGAGTATCGGATTTCCGAATATCCAAAACCGAAATGGCTGAAGTATTTTACCTTCTATCAAATTAACTCAATCCTTTTCACAGAATAGATAAGCATTATCAGTTAACGTAAGTAATGTACATTTAAATGAAACAATATTAACGGTTTAAGATGCGAAATATATAAACTTTTTTTCATTTATTCGAACTACGTTCCTATATTTCAGGGTTGTAATCACGATTGCTATAAAGCATCCGAATTATTGAGGCGCAGTTAAACAAAAAAATAATTTAAATCATGTATTTCACGTTTTAAACCGTTAAATAAGTTTTATTCAAATACTACAGGTTTTTTTTCTTGAGAGAATAGTTACTTCGCTTCGCTTTTAAATATTATTTTAAACAATAGTATATAATATGTGCATGGAATATTAATACATTATACACTAAAAAAAGACGTGTGATGTTAGAATTTAAAACTCGCGCTTTCGAAAAATGGTAGGAAAATGGGGCCCCAAATAAAAAAAAACCTTTACTGTATTCAATGCTGTAAAATAATTTATTTTTAACGATACTTCACAACTGCGTGACGGAGGATCGTAGTTAAAAATAAATTAGCTTATATATTCGCGTTTTAATCCGTTTCTTTTTTTTTTCGCGGACAATATTGTCATATCGTCTTTCTGTTAGTGTTGTACATTCTAGTGTCGTATCCTCACGTATTTGTCAAAAGACAATTCTGGGGCCCCAAAGTTTACTTAAAACTAAAAATAAATATGTGATTTCCTATATTTTTTTGCATACGAGAAACTAAATATATGTCTCTCTATACATATGGCTACATAGTTATAACAATTATAATGATTTCAAATAAATATACAACCGAGTAAATATCAAAGACTAATCTAGAATTTTTCGTAGTGGCAATTCCGTTGGTGGAAATGGAAAAAAAATATTATTTTTTTGTATAATAATCTGAATACATCGCTTTCTTTATCTCTGCTTAAAATGATCTTCAGTAGAAGAGGCAAAAGAAAGAGAGAAAACATTAGAACAAGAGCGCGATATATCAAGTGTGTTATGGAAGTCAACTTAGATCGTTCTCTGTCCCAATAATGTCCCCAACATAGGACATTATTGGGACAGAGGACATATTAAAATTACCTAAGTATTTTAAACTATACTCAATACTAGCTTTGTCAGCGACTTCGTCCGCGTAGAATAGTAATTTTGGGCGTCAAAATTTATTTTGCAAACCTCCCTTTCAACTCAACATAAATTTATAAACCCACAAGGATGAATTATTACCCCGTTTTTTTTCGACATTTTTCGCGGTTTCTTCGCTGTTATTAGTCACATCGCAATGTTATACAGCCTATTGGTAAATGCTCTAACACAAAAAAAAAACAATTCGAACCAGTAGTTTCTGAGATTAGCGCGTTCAAACAAACTCTTCAGCTTTATACATTAGTATAGATGCTATAGCTATGGGAAAAAAAGCGTTATTGAGTAAGCAATTTTTTTTTCCAACAACAGAATTGACACTACGCCAATCTTATTATAATAAATGCCACTATACGAGAAATGTATAAAAAAATACGAATGATACGGTAGAAAAAAAAATCGCTCGATAAATTTTCGTTAATGTCTTATCTAGTATCTATAAGTCGAGAATGTAGGAAATTTCGTGAGTAGGCCCGAAGATTCATTGCTATTGATATTAGGACGCAAAATGTAACTCGTTAACGTGTTTAGAAGACCAATGATTGTGCGCGAGGATTTCACTGGATTCGACACTTCGTCACAACTGACAACTGACAAATGACAAGTGTCAGACCGCTTTTGACAATTTGTATTACATTGCCAAGGCATCAAAGTACGCATTGTCAAAGATTGAAGACATTATAATAATTGATTTAAAAAAACTTCAATAAAATCTAGACGAAGTTCGAAACCGGATTATAAACCGTTTAATTCTTAAATCGGTATAACATTGCGTATGGATTTTATCATTTATATACTAATAATTTCTAACGGTTTAAAACGCGATTAATATTAGTCAAACTTATATAAAAAATATTTTATGGACCGCCGTTTCAAAAGTTTTAACTTTGACGTCAAAGTCACACTTCATCTTTAGTCGCTCCGTGACCGCGGCTGCTGGTCTTCCGAAATGTTGGGCGGCAGTTTTAAACAAGTTTAACTAGTACATATTGCGTTTTAAACCGTTTTATTGGAATAACAGTTTTTATTGTAAAATAGTAATAAAAATGTACTCGGGACTTGGAAATGACGATATCGTCAAAATAGTGAACAGTATAATAGTTACAACTCCCACACTTGGCTGTGGGTTCGACGCACGGTTAATAAACTGTTTGGTAACATATAAAGGTAATCCACACGAAACACATAACGATCGTATTTAAACCGGTTGAAATAAACCGGTTTCTGAACCTTCCGGAATGGAACTGACAGCATATAACTTTACTCTGCCTCAACCCTCAAGTATTCTACCTTGGTGATCTTCTTGGGATCAGTGGTACCGGTCTCCAAGACCTCGACCTTCTGGTAGACGTTCGGCGAGTTCAGCCAGCGGGTGCGTTCGCCGGTCTTGCCTTGGCCCTTCCTCCAGATCCTGAAAATATTGACATGTAATAAGCTAAAATAATAATAGATCAAATTCACGAATAATAAACTCAACAATGGAAAATCCCCCTTCCCACATTCCACATTTCCCCCTCTTTCTGCCCACCTCTTTGTCGCAGCGTGATGTTCTATAGGCTTTCCTCGATGGTCTAACACAAAACCAATTTTTCAAAAAGAACCAGTAGTTCCTGAGCAAAAAAAGAGACTCTTCAGCTTTGTAGAATTAGTATAGGTACAATTTATATTCCTCTCTGGGGCATGGGACCAGATACATTTGACATAAATAATAAGAGTAACATTTATTGGTGGTTTGTTTCTATGCCCTGGTTGAGTTGGCAACTTTGGTAGTCCAAACTAGACGGCTAGAGCCCCGCTTGTGCCCCAAGCTTGGGGCACGTAGGGGCACAAAGAGGCCTTAGCCGTCGCCGTCTCTTGGTCTAGCCACGCACACAGTTAGTTTTAACAGTATTAATTTAGTGCCTGTGCTATGGAACTAAGAAGTCAAACCCTTACCCCTGTTTGTACAATTCCTCCTCCTCCAAGAGGTATCCCAGCGAGGAGACCGCCGGTGGTACTTCCACGTCGTTCTTCGGCTTGGGCACATCGTTCTGTAATAGCACATTGTATTCAATAACAACCTTGATAAAGAATTCAAATGTAATGTAGCTGTTAAAAAATAATCGCATTAGATTTAAATAAAACACTAACGTCGTAATTAATAATATATAACAAATTTTCTAATAAGTTAAACTAATAAATATCGCGTTTTAAACGGTTAAAGTGTTTCATATAAATGCGTAAACTACAGACAGTAATCGTATTAGATATGGAGTATTGTCTGTACTTTAAGCAAATAAGTTACCCGGCCGACACCGGTGGGGCATGGGGCGGAAACATTGTTGTCTCCCTTTCGCTATACAATTTCCCATTTCCTTATATCCTAAATTTACCTTGATGATGAAAATGAAGTGAAGTACCGTTTCCCCTTATGGGGCATGGAATGGACACATATCTATGTCCCTTTTTTAAAAGCTTTCCCTTCTTGACTAATGTGAAAGCGCGAACATGGAAGGGAAGTAAAGTAAAATTCGTTTCCCCCTGTGGGGCATAGGTCAGACACGCATCTGTGTCCGTTTCACTAAAAACTTTCCCATTTTGAACAATCCAAAATCTTGTTACCTCGATATGGAGAATAATGCGAAGTGAAAACCGTTTTCTCCTATAGTGCATGAAGCGAACACACTTCTGTGTCTGTTTTACTAAACGATTTCCCATTTCGCTCGATACATAATACTTTTTACCTTGACTGTGGATGCGAAGTAAAATCAAATCCGTTGCCCTAATGCGGCATGGGGCGGACACACTTGTATGTCCGTTTCACTTAACGCTTTCCCATCTAGTTACCTTGATAAGTGGGTGCCTGTAGATGTATCCAGTGCGGAAACCGGCGTTATCCAACATCCTCATCAGCGCCTCAAACTCTTCACCACCGACGCGCCACTTCTTCTCGTCCGTCGGGGGCTTGTGGGTCGACTCGTAGATCTGTCAAGGGTTTTTTATGATAAAGGAGGTTGATCTTGGAGTTTCGTTGATGGAAGACGAAATAGCCCACCAAGCATTGGAGCGGCGTGATGGGTTTCAACTTTCACTATAACGAACCTTAAACCGTTAAAGTGTTTTAGTTAAAGTGAGCACAGAGTTTTGGATTTGAGCTTAGGTCTTCTCCCTAAACAAGTCTAACTAATATATATCGCGTTTCAAATCGTTTAAGTGGTTTTATTTAAATGAGAACTACTCGCAGAAACTACAGACATTATCTATGCCCACCTGTCTGGCTGTTTCCTCGTCCAGCAGGCTGAGCTCGTCCAGCGGGAGTGTCGCGAGACGGAGCTGCACTTCGCAGGCGGTGTTCAGGTTCTTCGCCTGGTAGAACGCCTCTTCGAGGGTTGCGCCGCAGCAGAGGGCGCCACCGCCGCTCAGCATCAGCACCTTCGAGTGGGGCCCGAGGGCGCGCACTAGCTTGTCGCATTCTTCGTTGTCTAGAACGCCTGGAATCGAAAATAATCTTGTGAAGTTCCTACCTTTAAATAAAACACTTAACGGTTCAAAACACGTGATATATTAGTTAACTTATAGTAACTACTACCCGATGCGTCTGATGCCTTGCCAATAATAAATTCAATTATTAGATCGCGTTTTAAACTGTTTTAAATGGTTTAAATACCGCACTGGTACCCCATATAGGTCCCATGCCTTTTCGGAGAATAAACCATTGGCCCATGGCAAACACATCTATGTGTCCATATTATTATTATATCGCGTTTTAAACAGTTAAAAGTGTTCTATTTAAATATTGCACTATTTCCCCATGTAGATCTTACGCTTTCGATGGGGCATTGTCCCATGACAAACGGAGAAAGTAAAAAAGCCTAACAGTGGTGATTTGCTCTGTAGCCAAACGGTTAAACGTATTGCCTAGCATTGCATTATGCGCGAGAGGTCCTAGGTTCCAATCCCAGGGGAACAAAAAAAAATAGTTCCAGTCGGGTAGGGCACAGAAGTCCGATCAACTACTTGCCTGTTAAAAAGAACGGATCAATGAAACGGACACAGAAATATGTTTACCGATGATGACCTCCACAATGGTAAAACAAAAATACTCACCAAGTGGTACCCGATGGTAGGCCAAGCTGCCCAGGGTAGCAGCCTCAGAGCAGAGCGCGAGCAGCCCCCGCTTGGTGGACGATATGGCGAGGGCGGACGGCGAGCGGAGATGCAGCACGCAGCGGATGTCTGGGCGGGCGGCGTGCACGCTCGCGTGGAGGGAGAATCCTGACGATGATAAAAGTTTTAGAAGGTCAGGGAACCCTTGTACGGTTCTTAAATTTAATAGACTAGTATAACGTGAGTACTTTAATTGCTATTTCGTTAAGCTGCTGAGTTTGTTTGTTTGAACGCGCTCATCTCAGGAACTACTGGTTCGAATTGAAATATTACTTTTGTGTTGGTTAGAGCACTTATTGAGCTGTGACTAATAGGAGTATAGAAACAGCGGGAAATTTGGAAAAATGGGAAAAAATATAAAAAAAAATAACTTTATAGGTTCCTGGTGCGTAAAATGGTTCAAGATACCATAAAAATATATTAAAGATTCCTCATTCAATGATCTATTAAAAGTCCGCGTCACTATATGACAATATTGTAAGATTAACTTGCAAAAACGACGGGATGCGACCGACATCGTGAGTGACAAATTAAATTTATAAAGACGAAGAGGAAGTTTGCAAAAACAAACTTGGAAGCAACCAAAATAACAATTCTACTCAGACGAAGTCGCTAACACAGCAACAATAAAAACTTTAAACTTAAGTAATTTTTTTTATTTTATTCATTCCTATAGTGTGAATAGCTTACCTTCAACATTGACTGGGAAGTTGGTCGTGCCCTGATCGACGACAATCCCCTGCATGTCCACTTTGACCAGCGAGGAGGCAGTCACCTCGTGCGGAAGCAGGCCGCGGGGCGTGGTCAACACCTGCTCCAGGGCTGTGTTCAGTCGCGCCGTTATCTGGCCCGTGAAACCGGCTGAAAGAGACAACAAGTTTCAGGAGGAGATATTTAACGGTTTAAAACGCGATATACATTAGTCATACTCATTTGAGTCTCCCCGCGACCACGGCTGCTGCAAAGCATCCGAAATGTCAGGCCGTAGTTAAAAATAATTTTCAAATAAGTTAACCTAATATATATCGCGATTTAAACCGTTAAAGTGTTTTATTTAAATGTGTAATACACGCGTAAACTACACACAGTATTCAGGGGGAGAGTTTGACGAGTTTGTTTGTTTAAATAAAACACTTTAACGGCTTAAAACGCAATAAATATTATAAGAATTTGAAGAAGAGAGAAGAGTTTGTTTGTGTACTACCACCAATAATTTGCCCGCGTTCAAAAAACAAAAGAAAGTTAACTGTGGACGGTCGTACGAGATCCGGACGTAATTTCGATATTCCGACCACCAGACAGATTTCCTGACGAAGTCCAACGAAATTCAGAAATTATAATTATTAATTTGATTAGAAACATGTGGGGTCAAAACCCACGACCCGTTGATTCTTAGCCATACATTGCTACTGCTTGTCTGTCCTCCTGTATCACCTCCCTCCTAAGACCCTCAGGTCTTTAACCATAATCAAAGTCCTTACTCTGAGTCCATCCAAAGAGATCGACGAGACGGTATACCGCTGCCAGTTTGCATCGCAGTATCTTCTCTCCCTTCTCGTAGCCCACACCTTCGATGCCACGAATGTCGTTGATTGGCAACACACAACTTGGACCCTGGAATGTAACGGAAATCAATTAAAACAAATCCATAGACTAATTTTTCTAACTTGGCAAAACATCACAACAAATATAGCACGAACTCTGAATGGAAACAGTAATTTGGTCTCACCCTCAAGCTTCCTGTATGCAGCCGACCGCCGACCATCTCACGTATGCGCTGCAGCAGCGGCGCGTCGCTACCTTCGTGCATCTGCTGGTCAAGCACCCGCTCCAACTCCTCGCGGAACAGCTTCGACGACATCAGCGCCTCCACTCGCTTCCGCCGCTCCATCTCTCGTACGTCCTGCAATTTAAGAGTGGACGAGTTACTTTCTTGCGGCATTATTTCGAACCAAATATCAGCCAAAACTTAAGTATCTATTGATACTTGTAATTAAACAGTTTTAGACTGTTATAAACACAAAATGTAATCATATAATCTATAAGCTATGCCCGCTGTGTGCGCGCAATTATTTTAGCACTAACAAACGATATTCTAGCTTTTGAGGATCTAGGACAGACAAGCTTGGTCTTTTACTTGATGGAAGGTGAAATACCCCAGGCATCTAAACCAGTGTGTTGTCCGCCTATTTCGAATATCTAAAAATTTTGAATATTGCTGATGCACTGTCGACCGATTGATGATTGATTGAAGAAAATTTGAATATCAAAATAGCTTTTTTATCTCTTCCTTAGCAACTTGGTATTTGAACTGTTCGACCGTCGTAATGGACAAATTGTTTTCGACGTATTGTGAGAGTCGACAAGTCGTCAGGCAGAACAGCTCGAAAACCCATATAGCTTTCCAAGATGGCGGCGAAGGCCTTGAACATACACACACACAAGGAAGGAAGTACTTGTAGGTAATTCTTTAATAGAACAGAAGATGTACTTACAGCATCGATGTCGGCTGGCCTCTGCTTTAGTCTTTCCTCCTCCTCCGCTGACAGTGTTGCGTTGCCGTTCGGCAGCGTCTCCGTGTCTGTGTCGGCCATTTTGTCTGCTTATCCAATCGTCTGGAAGAAGAGAAGAGAAATGTTTAGTAACCCTTTTAAGATTAACTCATAAGAACCATTTTTATTTTAAAATACTTCATGTGGCAAAATCAGCTAGTTTATTCAAATAAAACACTTTGACGGTTTAAAACGCGATATATTAGTTAAACTTGTTTGAAAATTATTTTTAACTTCGGCCCGACGTTTCGGATGCTCTGCAGCAGCCGTGGTCACGGGGAGGCCTCGGTATGTGTGCAAAGCATCCGAAACGTCGGGCCGAAGTTAAAAAGCATTTTCAAACAAGTTTAACTACTAATATATCGCGTTTTAAACCGTTAAATGTTTTATTGTGTGTGTGTACTACTCGCGTTAACTATAGACAGTATTCAGCTGGTTTATTTTGAAACTATTATATTATAACGACTATTAAACTAACATTTCGCCCGATTTAGTATTCGAAACAGGGACCTCATGATCTGAACGAAGACGAGTTGAACTGACCACCAGACAAAGGTTACAGACAAGTTGGGGCAACCCTTAATCTTAAACTACTTACGCAAGTGGGCTGTACTTTTTATGGGTTAACTAACTGTTAACAACGCGTAACCCCCGAGATCTCATTACGGCAATTACAATTAAAAGATAAACCTTCCCACGGCCGACGCGCCTGCGCAACCCGTGGTGCATTCAGGTCAGAAATGAAAGTGATGATGACTCCGACATTGTCTGAAGCGGTTTTGTGCAATCGCGATTATTGCACGTAATCTCAAACTACCGTCATTATGGTTATTTAAATTACCGTTTCGTTGGAGCCATTCACAACAAATTTGTGCGCACAGATCTATACTAATATAGAAAACTGAAGACTTTGTTTGTTTGAATGCGGTAATCTCAGAAAGTACTGGTTCGAATTGAAAAATTATTTTTGTGTTGGTTAGAGCATTTATCGTGCAAGGCTTATAATATTTTTTTAGCTATAAAATCGATGTGACTAATAGTAACGAAGATACAGCGAGAAATGTGGGAAAATTATCAGGAAGTTTTTTTCAGTTCATTAAAACTTCTGTTTTCATGAACTGAAAAAAAAAAGTCTGCGACACGCTATGGTTATTTTTTAAGATTAACTTGCAAGAACGACGGGACGAGACCGACGTCGTAGGAATAGTTCAAATCTACAAAGAAATGGTCATAGCATAGCCATACATTTCAATGTTTTTAAACGTATTTTCCGCAAACATGATCGGAAATTAAATCATTTTAATAATCGTCTTCGAGATAAACCCAAGTTGCTGTACTGCTCGAGCAGCGGCCGGCAATAGTTGTTTAGCGGCCAAATAAATTAAATAAAAAAATAAAATGATCTACTCCGCAACGTGGCGATCGAAGAGGTAACTTATCAAAGGTATAGGTGTTTACTCTACCGCAACAACCACGACAGCTGATAGGCCGAATTTAAAATCATTTACAAATTTAACTAATATACATTTAAAATCATTTAAAAAAATTTAACTAATATACATCGCGTTTTAAACCGTTGATGTTTATTTAAATATCTACTACTCGCGTATACTACAGACAATGTTCTGTTAACCATACAAAAAGAACGACAAAATCAATTTCACGGATTCACACCTGCCAGGGTAATTTGCACTGACACAAGCGGCGTGACGAATTTAAAAGCCGAGATGTCGTAATTACGATCGTGGGTGTCTATTCTACGTCCACGATATATAATTTATCTATACATCCAAGACATTTATTTACTACAATTAAAACAGCTGAAGCCAAATAACATGTTTACACTGATATTATAGAGGAAGGATTTACGTGTGTCTGTGCGCGCGTGTGTGTGTGTGTGTGCATTTCACATTAACATCTCAACAAGACGCGCTGTGGACCTCTTTTGTGTTTCGATATATGGATATCCACAGACTGAAATCGAAACGCGATTAAACTTCAACTGAGATTGGTGGTAAATTATAAATCGATATGAAAAATTTTGGATCCAGAGGGGGTCTAACCGACGACCCGTTGATTATTAGCCCTACATTACTACTATTACACCAATGGGCACATCGAAAGCTAGTGAAGACTGACCACCTCCGGTCTTCCAACAGCCTCCGTACCTCGTGGGTACGGAACCCATACTTAGATTAGGCTCTACAGGACCTCAACACTTTACACACGTCTATAGTTTACGCGAGTAGTACACATTAACGGTTTAAAACGCGATATATTAGTTAAACTTATTTGAAAATGATTTTTAACTTCGGCTCGACGTGTCTCCCCGTGACCACGGCTGCTGCTAAGCATCCGAAACGTCGGGCCGAAGTTAAAAATCATTTTCAAATAAGTTTAACTAATATATCGCGTTTTAAACCGTTAAAGTGTTATATTTAAACTTTACACGCGTTTCGGCTACCGACCTGTGTGCGTGCACAGTAATGAAAAGCTCGTTCGAGAGCTTCGCGGTTTTTCATTTACATATTAAAAAGTCTACGTATAAGGCAACGTTGGTTTTTCGTTATGGCGGGGTCAATGAACCCGCTTTGTTCACTCTTTGATTTATGGCTCGATATTTGTGAGACAGGGACGGATATAGGTTGGAAAGGGACGCAGCTATACCGTGACTTTTGATGTCTGCGCGACTAGATTGACATGATACACGTTTCACGTGAAATATTTGAAAGACGATCCTGGACCAACTATTATATGAGGCAGCTAGAAGCATAGTAGCCTAAAGCCTTGTTTTTCGGTCACTGTGCTCTTGTAGATTAACATTTTTAGACTAAAAATATATATCGATAAATAATAATATTAGAGTATTACACATTGAAATAAATCACTTTACGGTACTGTACGGTACGGTATAACGGTTTAAAACGCTAGGTAGCCAAGTTATTTCTTCAAATATTAACTACAAAAAACGGATGTTACTAGCGTAGTAGATTTGACTTTGACATTAGGGACGCCCTCCTTATTTATTTCCCACATGACCACGGCTGCTGCAAAGCATCCGAAACATCGGGCCGTAGTGAAAATAAATAAGAAATAACGTTACCTATTATACTACGAGTTTTAAGCCGTTACAATTATAAGTTTACAATTATAAATATTATAAACGTAATAAGAAGCGCGTAATTTTATGAACCAAAATTAAAAAATTGATTTTAGATTGAAAAAAATTTACGACACGGACCGGATTCGAACCGACATCAATAGCGTTTCTTGATAAGCGATTGAGCTACCGAGTCCTACACGCCATCGTCTGATTTTTCAACTTATTGATGAATTTCAACCTTGAAGCTTTCGAACCGAAATTCGACAAATACTAATATAACGAAAACCGAATATTCCGGTTTCGGTTAACGGCATTCGGCCCATCCCTACACACAAACATATGGGTCTATTATGTAAGCCGAAAGACTGCACCGGAAGCCAGTCGCGTGGCTCACTGACTTCAATTGTCGACACATATTCCCGTAATGTTCTTCTTACTTGGCCGCCGCGCATCGAAAATAGATCGCACTGAATTTGTGCGGTGATAAAATCCTAAAGATATCATACTTACATAGTATATAAAAAAAGTCGCTTTTGCTGTCCCTATGTACGCTTAAATCTTTAAAATTACCCAACGGATTTTGATGCGGTTTTTTCTAATAGATAGAGTGGGTGGGGAATCAAGAGGAAGGTTTTTATATACAACGTTACGTTTTTCCTTAGTGTTCAGCATTGAACTTGAGCGAAGCCGGGACGGGTTGCTAGTTTAATCCATACCAGAGATGCTCCGCCCGCCGGTGGCCCGCCGACAGCAAAAGTAATACTCAAATTAATAATTACCTATACTTCTGCCCCCCCCCCCCCATATTTCATAATCATAATTTGACCGATAGGCCCCTAGTCTTAATGAAGTCTGTGCATACCAAATTTTGACTTTGTCTCTACACTAATATTCTAAAGCTGAGTTTGTTTGAACGCGCTAATCTCAGGAACTATTGGTTCGAATTATTTTTTCGAGGAAGGCTTTAGACTATATAACATCACTCTGCGACTAATAGGAGCGAAGACAGATTAAAAAAAAAATCTTAGTGAGCTTCGGTTGCGGCGGTGGGGAAAACGGATAAAGCAACCAAAAAATATGTATGACTGAATGATTCTTCTTTAGATAATCTATAAAAATGTCCGCGAAATTAAAAAAAAATACCCTCACTGAACGAAACTAATCACCATCGACTACCCCGGGTTCGAACCTATCCTCGATAACACAACCACTGAGCCTCAAGCAAAACACGCCAACGTGTCTTATCGTAATTAGGTCTCCGCGAAGCCCCTCGCCGCCCCACTTCCTGCATCGAAGTAATCCAACACTAATGCCCATTGATTTTACACTGCCGCCTCGTTCGATTATACTTCGCTCTCCCATTAAGACCCAGGGACTATAGACCTCAAGTGGCTTTAAGGCGGTTGGAGAGTACACATTTTTGATTTCTCGATCTTACCGTCCATTATCTCGACCCTTCCCGCCGTTCTTGCAAGTTGATCTTAAAACATAGATATATACGGCCTTATTTAAAAAAAAAATTTAAACCAGGTTTAAACCAGAACTGCTGAGTCTTCAAACAAACCAGGTCTCATAGTTGGTCCTTGTTTTGTAATAAGAGTGAAAAGGTCGCGAACATTTTTTTAGATCATTTAATGAGGAATCATTCTATCATACAATTTTTGTGTACGGTTCAATAACCGTCTACGCAACGTACGCATCGGAAACCACGAATTTTCCGTTGTGTAATCGCTCCTATTAGTCACAGCGCTTCTTATAACCTTACTTAATAAATGCTCTAACCAACACAAAAATAATGTTTCAATTCGAATTAGTAGTTCTTGAGATTAGCACGTTCAAACATACAAACAACTTTTTCAGCTTTATATTAATATATATATATTCTATATAAATATATATTCTATACTAATGTATAGAATATATATTTTGGACGTTCGTG